TGAGAACACACAGCATGGCGCTACGCCGCACATCTTCCTTTAAGGAGATCATCTTACTAAGAGGATGATAATGAAATTGTTTTGAAGAATTTGGAGAACACTAACCAAACAACTCTTTGTCCAAGAAAATATGAAAAAATAAAACAGCTAATATTTCACCATCAACCTAAACAACTTGTGAGTTTGCTGAATCTTTCCACATGTCTGCAATGTACTTTAAGGCAAACTAAGTTCCATATTACCTTCCATCAGAGTTTTTCAATCTTTTTAAAAAATATTTTATTAAATCCTTGAGAATTCCACACAATGTATTTTGAGTATATTCATCCCACCAAGCTCTTCTCCAGAATTTTCCTCTTTTCCTTCTGGTTTTTAAAGACAGGGTTTCTCTGTGTACAGCTCTGGCTGTTCTGGAACTCATTTTGTAGACCAGGTGAGCTTTGAACTCACAGAGATCTGCCTGCCTCTGCTACCACACCCAGCCCTCTCCAGAATTTTCAATCATGACTTAACGGGTCCTTATTCTATACTAGCCAGACTCAGTGTTTTATTTTCTTTTCAAAAAAGGTTTACTTTTACGCATATGAGTGTTTGCCTATAGATATGTCTGTGCACCACATGTAGACCTGGTGCCCAGAAAAGGCATGGGATTCCCTGGTACTAGTGTTAAGATGGCTGTGAGTTACCTTATGGGTGCTGGGAACTGAACCCAGGTCTCTGCAAAAGCAGCAAGTGTTCTTAACCTCTGAGCCATCTCTCCAGCACCATGTTTTATTCTTTTAACATATTAATTTTTGAATAGTAATATACTGTCGAATAACTGTGAAGCACAGTGCTACTGTGAATTTCTCTTAAGAGAGCTCTAGGGGACGAAAAACCTGTAAAGCTACATGAGAATTCTAAATTCAGCAAGGATGTGACTGAAGATTACAAAAAGTGCTGCCGAGCTAAACTTTTGGGAGGGAAGAAAGGGAACCTTCAACAATGCAATTGAAAACTGCTGGGTTCCAAACCTGATGACTGGCTGTTTTCCCAGGAGGGATCTGGGAAACAAGTTCAGGCAAGGACAGTCATTGAGACATAACCAATTATCCTAGCCAGGCAGCCTAAGGCTCAAGTATTTATCTATTCAAGTGCTTCCTTTCCTTGGGCTTCCAGAAGCAAGCTTAAAAAAACAAAAACAAAACAAAAAGAAATAAACAAAAAAAAAAAAAAGGAGAGGAAAAGGCGTAAAAAGTCAAGTCTAGTAACACACACATTTACAGGTTGATCTCTATGAAGTTCTAAGCCAGTCACGGCTACACAGTGAGACCTTGTCTCACAAACAAAATAAAGATAAAAACAACAACAACAAAAACCCTCAAAAACAAAATAAAAACCAAAGTCATAGAAGAGGTATTCTAATGAAAATGAGTTAGCTGGCTTCTTTGCTAAGGTACAGTTGCGTAAGGACAAGGACGTGTGGTGCTTTACCTCATTTGATTCTCAATTCCCCAATCAATACCCATGCCTAACAGCTAACAGAATATTTCCAAACATTTCTTGTTGTTTTTGTTTTTCCGAGACAGGATTTCTCTGTATAACAGCCCTGACTTTCCTGGAACTCAATTTTAGACCAGTAGGCCTCAAACTCACAGAGATCCCCCTGCCTCTGCCTGAGTGCTGGGATTAAAGGTGTGTGCCACCAGGCGCAGCTCCATAGCATTCTTTAAGTGCACCTACATTATTTACTTTTAAGTATGGAAAGTTCTGGCCCAATCTACACTGTCGAACAAGCATTTCAGAACTCTAATACGCCGTCCTAAAGGTAGGCTGTCGCACAGACTTCTTTCCCTACTCAAAGGGTAATCAGAGCTTGTCTTACTTCGTCTTATACAGATGCATGATGCCATGGACTATCTCAACGGAAGGGTTGCCGCTGAAGAAGGAAATCTGGTCTGGGAGCTGCTTGGACGGGGAGTCTGGGGCTGTGTTCACCGACTCGTTTTGCTTTCTGCTTCTCTGCGCAGACAGGGAGGCTGTTGAAGACTTCTTTTCTTCCATTGTGTCTCTCAACTCATCTTACAAAAGCAAAGTTAGCAGATAACAAACAGCTGAAATTAAGCTTAAGGAACCTAATAAACTTAGAATTTCAAGCTGGAAAATGAACTGTGATGGAGACGCTATACTGTATTGCATTAAGCACACTGGAGGCTGAAGCAAGAGGACTGTAGACCCGGGCTGTCATAGAAATGTTGTCATAACACACAAACAAACCATACTGACAGAAATGCTGAGCTCGGGAACATCTCAACTTTAAAGCTTTCCCTGCCTAAAAACATTTCTTCACATCCTTGTAAAACTATGTTAGCACCCTAAAAAAAAAAAAACAGGAAGGGCCCATCCCATATCCAGCAGTAACCCAACACAGTACTAGGGCACCTCACAATCCAGCAAAACCCCAACAAAACAGGCAACATTTACCACCTGCTCCTCATTGAGACCAAAATCAGAGCACTCTGAAAACCAAACCTTCCGGTTCTGATTACACCTATGCTGGAGATGCAGAACGCATCCACTCCTTCAGCTGAGGGCTGCAGGGAAGTGAGGGCTTGGCAAGCTGACCCAGATGCACTGCTCCCCGGGAGCACTCCCCACCACAGTGAAGAATCCACTTCATTACACTCCATCAATTATTTTCTTTACTATTCCTTTGAAACAGGCTCTTCTTATGTTAGCTGTTTGTACGCTCCAGGGTTTAAATAACCATTTTGCCTCTGCCCTGAGTGGCTGACTAAAGGCGTGTAACTCTGCACCCAATCTTAGTACTATTTAGGGGGGGGAAATTTTAAAAGAAAATGAAACATGGCTTCACAAAAATCACACAGAGCACAGTAGTGATAAAAAATAAAAGCATGCTGAAGGAAGTTGGTAGAGCACTTGCCTACATGCGCAAGGCCTTGGGTCTGAGCCATAGCACCAGATAAACTGGATATAGTGGTATGTACACACAATCCCCCAACATTCAATGGATGAAGAATTAGAAGTTCAAGGTCATCTTCAGCTCCACACACTGTAGAAGGTCAGTATGTGCTAAATAAAATCTTCTGTTGAAAATAAAATATGAAGCCAGCAGTGAGCCTCATGGGCTCACAATACAAAAGCAAGGCCAGGTTCCTGAGGGCATACCTGGGCTGGCCTTCATGGTCTCGATAATCACGTCAGTCATTTCTCGCCGGCCAAGGTGCTGGTGGATGATTGCTGCTTTCTCCCCTGGTGACTTCCCTTCTAGACAAGCGGCAGCTGAAGCCAGTGTCTTCTTTTTGATCTCCTCATCGGACATCTCCCCAGCTGAAGAACACATGAATGATTAATACCCGATGACAGAACAAATTCTCCTCCCTTCTCGGCACTCCAATCAATAGGGTTCCTCCTTGTCTGTTGCACTTCCCCAGATGGGTGAGACTGAGTTTGCAGTATGTGCCTCTGTCCCTTCAGGACCCCTACAGCACACCCCCACCCCACCCCTGGTAACCATCAGTGGTGTCTACCACAATACTCTCAGAAATATGGTGCTGTTCTACTAAAATCATGTCCTTAAACCCACAGGAATAAGGGCCTTCCTGAACGATCCTCGATGATTATACCCAGATGAACTACCATGAGTAGCACCCAGTAAAGTGAAAGCCTATGTTGTGGCCAAAATGGAAGTCTCACGAAAAAGTGCCATTTCAGAGACCCAGAGGCATGACTGAAATACCCTTACCATCAGCTCTGAGGCGAGGTGGACCCCAGGCTTGTTCAGACCAGCTCATCCCACACAACCCAGCATGCCATAGAAATGCTCACTGTCTTTGTTGCATAAATGACTCCATGATTGGCCCATGAGGATACCTGTAAGTGACTAGTTGGCTTCCAGAACTAGGGGTCACTTTGAGCCCTTGAAAAATGTTTGTAATCTCGAAATAAATCATACTCGTTTGAGTAACAAAATGGACAACACGGTAAGACCACAATCTTCCACTGTGGTTCCAAATGCTGGACTCATGGAGTGTCCAGTGATGCCACTTCCCTTGAAAAAGCGGCATCTCCCCTCTCCAAGCTAAAGACGTGTTGTTTCCCCTTTCCATCAATTTATCACATTTGTTCCGTACGCCACAGATTAGAGACCACATCTGATTCTCCGCACGATGAAGCTCTGACACACACCAAGCAATCACCCTCCCACACACACCTTTTTTTCTGTCTGTTTGTTGGGACAGGCTTTCCTGGAACCCCGACTGGCTTGTGTTTCACCTGTCCTCCTGCCTCCACCTCGGGAGCCTCTAAACTCCTGAACCAATGTCACCAGGTAATGTTTCGACGACAAAGCTAAATGGCCCACTAAGGAAGTCTGCGGCGGCTGGGGAAGACGTCAGATTCTCGGGCCCAGCTGGGTTCGAATCCCTGTTTCCACCCACTTATACCTAACTTTAGGCAGATCATTTCCCTACTGGCCTGTTTGCCAGTTTGGAAAAGGCGCAGAGCATCCCCCAGGCCGCGCGTCCCGCAGCGAAAGCGTCGAGGGGGACGCCGAGCAGAGGAACCTGGCAGCCCCTAGGCGGCCGACCCGCCAGCCCTGCGCGAGGCCGCGGACTCACCGGCGGCGCTGAAGCCGAAGTCGGCGGGGACCGGCGAGTGACCCGCGAGCTCCAGTCGGATGACCACCAGTGACACACTCATAGGGCAGGCGCTGGTCGGCGTGGGCCCCGGCGGGATGAGGGGAGGCTGCGGGCCGAGCCCAGAGGCCGAGCGGCCCGCGGTCGGCAGCGCCGCCACCGCCTCAGAGCCGCGGCCGCCGCCTCGGCAGCGGTAGCCTTCTCGCGCAGCCGGCCGAGCCACAACAACCTCCACTTCCGCCTCCCGGCCGCCGTCTCTGACCCGCGGGGTCGCGCACGCGCCTGCGCCAGCAGGAAGGAGGCGCGGTCCTCCGGCGCGCGTGCGCCCTCCGTCGCACAGGCTCAACCTTGGCTGAGCTGCTCCGAGGTTGTCCCGGGAGAGTGCTTGGACTGTGCAGAGCGTTGCGGCCTCTTTTGGGTTCGACCTCACGCTCCTATCGTTCCGCCCACTCTCCGGCCAGGTTCTTCCAGGCTTTTTGGTTGGTTTCCTGGGTGTTCGACCTCAGGTCTTAACTTTATGCAGGTATGGCGATGGGCTGGTTAGGAGCGCAGGGGCTTCATAGATGACCCCTGAGAGCCTGACACTGCGGGCCCTGTGGGATAGTTTTGCAGATGTGGAAAACAGTCCCTACCGGGACTGCCTTCAACACTTGTGCCATCTGAGCTAGTCGATGCATAACACCACACGGTCGTGTAAAATGAAACGCCATGTGGAGACAGGGAGAAGCCTGTATGTTATGGTTAAATTTGGGTTTGTTGTTTGATTGTTTTGAGATGGGGTCTGGTGTAGCGCAGGCTGATCGAACTCTTTAAGGTGCAGAGGATGTCCTTGAACTTCTGCTCCTCCTGCCTCTTCCACCTCCCCAGTGATTAGGGGCCTCTGCTGAAGGCTTTGTGCTTGACATAGTGGCAGGATAAAACTAACGCAAGAATTGTCTGCCATGCATTTGCCGTAGTGAGCACACACACTGGAATGTACTTCAGTGGTAGAATGCTTGGGGTACCGGCTCTGAGTTCAATGTCCAGTAAACACACACACTCACACTGGGTTCAATGTCCAGCACACACACAAGGAAAAGAAAAAGAAAAGCCAGTTAAAATCAATGCATATGTGGAAAAAACATGACAGGTTACTTTTCTGTGTATATGCTATAGTGTAGGAAATGTGGGAGAAAGGACTTGTCCCCAAACTGTATCCGTTACAGGAACACACGACACATAGAAGAGCTTATGCTATATCCTATGTACTACGTCTCACACCCTGTTAATGCCAGGGTTTCCCAACTTCTGTCTTGCTCACATTTTGGGTCCTGATAACCCTTTTGGGGTGCATGTCTGTCTGTGGACCACAGATGTCAGTAGTACTCTCTCCTCCTGGTGATCAACAAAAACGTGCCAGATACTGCTAAATGTCCCCTCTATGGAAAGCTCCTGGCTTATATGAAAGTGCACTAGCTACCCACTCAGAGCGCATCATGTGACCATGTGTCAGTAGTAGGTATACCTTTCTGTGTTTTGTTTTGAGACAGGGTTTCTCTGTGTATCTCTGACTGCCTTGGAACTCGCTCTGTAGACCAGGCTGGCTTCGAACTCACAGAGATCCTCCTGCCTGTGCCTCCTGAGTGCTGGGATTAAAGGTGTGCGCCACCACTGCCCAGTCAGTAGTAGACATACCTTTGTGGTGCTGAGGATTGACCTACCTTTGGCACGCTAAGCACATGCCATGGTGCTGAGGCACACCCCTAGCTCAAGTGGTAGGTAAGTAGTGTGCCAGGTACTTACTCGATAGTTTTCCATTCTTTACCTCAGGTCATGGTGACCCTGAAGATGAAGACTTTCCTCCATCTAGCCGGGTCCCACTGGACCGGTTTCTCTTGGCCCACTGGGTCCCCTCAGATGCTTATTAAATAACCACTCTGAGGCTTAATATCAGTTACAGTTGTTTGGCCAATGGCTTAAGCTTCTTACTAACTAGCCCTAACTATAAATTAACCCATTTCTACCAGTTTATATTTTCCCATGAGGCCTTCTTCCCCAGCGGCTACATGGCGTCTCCTTGACTCTGCCTACTCTTTCTCTCTATATCTGTTTGGATTTCCTGCCTGTCTTTACTCTGCTAAGTCAATGGCCAAAACAGTTCTATTCATCAGCCAATAAAAGCGACGCGTATTTGTAGCATACAGAGGACAGCCCACAGACTAAGGTGCTGGGGCACACCCCCAGCTCAAGTGGCAGATAAAGGTGTGTCAGGTACTAACTCGATAGCTTTACATTCTTTACTGCAGGTAATGGAGACACCTTTTGGCAATAGGTACTATAACTGCCCCATTTTACATAGGAGCGACCTAAGGCACAGATAGAGTATTGTCCCCAAGATTTTACTTCCAGTAGGTAGCAGAGCCGGAATTTGAAATTAGAAGATCACCCCGTATCAGTTCTGTCTTTGCTAAGCCATCTCTGTAATATATAACAATGCACTATGTGGCTATTTATGAAATTATAATTCAGGCAGTAAGTCTACATTATTCTAACCTCTGATTGACAGGGAGACAATAAATCTTCTTTTTGGTATAAAAGATAGGGAATGGACAAGCTGTCAGAGCTCTTTGTGGCTGTCAGTCCTGTGGTGTGTCCCTACTCTTTCCTCCCTGTGTCCTCCAGCGCTCTCCCTCTTCTTGCTGTGTAGCCTTGACTGAGGTGGCCTTCAAGGCTGTCCTGCCTCTGCCTCCCTTGTGCTAAGAGCACAGCCGTGCATGCATCCCCACTCCCTGCTGTTTTCTGGTCCATCCAGTTGTTTCATCCTTCAGCTCACTTCACCAGAGGAACTGCTGTGACTCTAGAAACAGCATCAGGCCCCCGGGGATGGATGTCTAAAAGATAATTAACGCCTTTAATCCCAGCACTCGGGAGGCAGAGGCAGGCAGCGGATCTCTGTGAGTTCAAGGCCAGCCTGGTCTACAGAGCTAGTTCCAGGACAGGCCCCAAAGCCACAGAGAAACCCTGTCTCGAAAAACCAAAAAAAAAAAAAAAAAAAAAGACAGTCCTTGCCTCATGGAGCTTGCTACAGGAGCAGATAGAACAGTTACCATGTGATGGGGTAAATACTGCACTAAGGTACAGAACAATGAAGGTGAAGGTGGGGGAAACCCCACCCCAAAGCTGCTATATCCAGCATGGGAAAAGAAATACAATCTCCAGGGAAGAAGGCAAGGCTGAGGTGTAAAAAGAGTGGAAATTCCCCCAGGCAGATGAAGCAGGGGAAAGGGCTCTGGTCTACAGCAGGTGCCAAGGCCTGGAGGCATGAGAGAGCTTGCCTAGTGTGTACAAAGGCCAGAGTCGATCCAGCAACACACAACCAGAGGTGGTAACAGAAGCCTGTAGTCTCAGCCTGCACAGCAGCCTGGGTCCTTCCTAGGCTTTGGCCCTGGCATGGAGAGAAGTGACACTGAGAGGAAGCTCAGCAGCCTTCAAGTTTGCGTGCATTTGTTGCTTGGTTGGTTTTCACAACAGAGATTCTCTGTGTAATAGCCTGGACTGTCTTGGAACTATGCAGACCAGGTTGACCTGGTCAAATATCCACCGGCCTTTGCCTCCCAAGTGCTGGGATCAAAGGTGTGTACCACCATGCCAAGCAAGCTTTTTTTTTTTCTTTTCTACCGAATGCAGCTATTTGTTTGTTTGTTTCTTTAGTTTTTGTTTTGTTTTTTTGAAACAGGGTTCCAATGTGTAGCCTTGGCTGTCCTGGAACTCACATTATAGACTAGGCTCTCCTCGAACTTGCTGAGATCTGTCTGCCTCTGCCTCCCAAATGCTGGGATTAAAGGTTTGTGTCACCACGCCCAGCTAAGTAAATTAATTTTAAAAAAGATTATTTTTGATTATCTGTGTGTGTGTTGTGTGTTGTATGTTTTCACCACAGTGCAGATGCCTGGCAGATCCAATTTTTTTTTTATTTATTATATATACAGTGTTCTGTCTGTATGAGTGCCTACAGACAGAAGAGGGCACCAGATCTCATTATAGATGGTTGTGAGCCACCATGTGGTTGCTGGGAATTGAACTCAGGACCTCTGGAAGAATAGTCAGTGCTCTTAACCTCTGAGCCACCTCTCCAGCCCTAGATCCAATTTTTGATGAAAAAGTACATCATGTCATTTTCAATATTTGCCACTTTAGAATCTTATGTTAGTTGAGTCCATATGTGTCCATATGTGCCAGCCATACCAGATTCTTGGGGAGGCTGAGGCATGAGGATTGCTTGATTCCAGGAATTGGAAACCATCTTGCATAGCAGATAATAAAAGAGAATAAATAAGTAAATAAATAAAGCAGAAATAAAAGAGAAAAAAGAAGAAAAATTGCTTTTTATTTTTTTATTTTTGAGTTCTTTTATTTTTACCTGGGGTGTGTGTGTTTTTGTTTGTTTAGATAGGATCTCATTAGGTAGCCCTGGCTGGCCTGGAACTCACAGAGATCCTTTGCCTCTGTCTCCTCAGTGCTAGGATAAAAGGTGTGCACCAGCAAGCCCCAATAAGTGCCTGATGTCTTATGCTTGATTAAGAAGGCCTCCAAAGTTAGGGAAGCAGGCCTCTTGGCATTCTGGTGAAGGAAGGGGTCCAGAGACAGTTTGCTTCTGAGAGCTTGGACCCAATCAGTGGGTTGATCCCATGATGGATTGATAACGTGATGTCTTTGTGGGAAGTGGCATCTTACCCTGGCCATTTCCCATATTCCCTCTGCTTCTTGCTTGGCTGTGAAGTACATATCTCTTTACTGTCTTGCTTCCTGCCACCATGATGTTCTTTCTGGCCAAGTTCATGGAGCCGTGCAGCCGCGGACTGAGCTCTCTGAAACCGTGTGCCAGAACAAATCGTTCCCTTGTGCTGCTTCTGTCAGGGAGTGGGTCACCGCAACGGAAAAGGTTATTAATGCACAAGTTGCCTAGGCTAGCGTGAACTCACCAGTCCTGCCTCAGCAGCTCCAATGAAGGTTTTAAAATGGGTTAAACTGGGCATGGTGATGCCAGCTTTTAATCCCAGCACTCCAGAGCAGAGGCAGGCAGAGGTCAGCCTGGTCTACAGAGCTAGTTCCAGGACAGCCGGGGCTACACAGAGAAACCCTGTCTCTAAAAAACAAGAAAAAATGAGGTTACAAGGTGATCACATCTGCAGTTCTGATAGATTACTCTGGCTGATGAAGGAGGAAGGTTGGAAGGAGGATTGAGAAGAGGTAGAGGGGCTTTCGAGGTCCCTGAAGAGAAGGTGGGAGGCGGAGGTGCTCTGGAGGAAGAGGCAGCTGAGTTGGGATTGAGGAGAGTCAGGGCTCAATATCCCTTTCTATGGATGTAGATGTTGATGGGTGAAGGTCCCCTTGGTGGAGTCATCGAATCCAGCTGTGTGGGGTTCGAGTGCTTGTTGGGCATCAGCTGAGGCATGTGGTGACACCTCTAGCTCGGGGAACTGGATCAAGCTGCTCTCTACCTTCTTCCCACACAGCCTGTGCCCCCCTGCCATGAGCATAAGGTGGCTTTTTCAGCCGTCTGCTCTCCACTGGGCATGGAGGACCGCTGCCTTGAGAAGTACCCTGGGCAGGCAGCGGGGCGTCCTGCGCTGGACACATTCTGGAGGCCACAGCTACAGAGCAGTCATTTTTGACATGGGCGGAGTTCTCATTCCTTCTCCTGGAACCGTGGCTGCTGGTGAGCTCAGTACTCTCACTTTGGGGGTTGGTGTGGGGAAAGGGGAGGGTGGGGGACAGACAGGCCCTGGATTCCAATTCTAAGCTCCAGTTAATAGCAGTGTTTGATGCAACGGCTTTGAGTCGAAGTTGTCTTGTCATTAAATTGGGGTTACTCCCTTGTGGGCATTTTATTTCAAAATACCACACCCACAGAACCATTTGATGGAGGCATTTTCGTGATGGAGGTTCATGCTTCCCTGATGACCCTGGCTTGTGTTAATGTGACAATAAACTAACCCAGCACAAAGTCCGTAGTTCATAATTTCTAATCCTTAGAGATTAACTAATTTAAGATGAACTGAGTGAAGAAAGAAGCAAATCCAGCCATGCGGTGGTGGTTCATGCCTTTAATCCCAGCATTTGAGAGGCAGAGGCAGGCGGATCTCTGAGTTCGAGTCCAGCCTGGTCTACAGAGCGAGTTCTAGGAAAGTCAGGACTCTCACCTAGGTCATATACCTAGTACCACTAAGGGAGTGTGGCATGTGCCACCATGTTTGTCACTCTGTCTTTCTAATATCCCATATTCTCCAATTGCCTGTTTTTAATATGTTAATAGGTCACAGAGTTCTTTTTCTGTAAGCTCCTAGTGTTTATATGTATATACATGTGTGTATACATATATATATATGTATATATATACGATTTATTTTATTTTATGTTCATTGGCGGTTTTTGCCCACATGTATGCCTTTATGGGATTTGACACCATGGAACAGGAGTTACAGACAGTTGTAAGCTTCCATGTGGGTGCTGGGAATTGAACCCAGGTCCAGTGGAAGAGCAGTCAGTGCTCTTAACAGCTGAGCCCTCGCTCCAGCCCAAGTTCCTGATATTTCTTTCTGAACCTTAGTAAGAGCCTTTTGTTATATTGAGGAGCAGTTTTTAATGTTTTTGAAGAATTATTCATCAATTTTATTTTATATGCATTTGTGTGTGCCTGCCTAAGTTTATATATATACAGGTGTCTATGGAAGCTGAGTTCTCTTCAAGAGCAGTAAACACTCTTAACTACTGAATCATCTCTCTGCCCTCTCATCTTTTGATTTATTTATAATATTTTTTTTGTTTTTTTGAGACAGGGTTTCTCTGTGGCTCCAAATGGAGCCTGTCCTGGCACTAGCTCTGTAGACCAGGCTGGTCTCGAACTCACAGAGATCCGCCTGCCTCTGCCTCCCGAGTGCTGGGATTAAAGGCGTGCGCCACCATTGCCCGCTTATTTATAATATTTTTGAGATTTTTTCTTTCTTTTCTTTTTGAGAAAGGATCCATACTAAAATTTCATTAAAAATACCATTAAAACCATCTGTGTTTTGTTTCCTTTATAGTTGTAGGCTTTCAAGTCTTAGTTAGGAAATTCTTTTCTACTCAGGAGGCAGAGGCAAGTAGATCTCTGTGAGTCTGAGGCCAGCCTGGTCTGCAAAACAAGTTGCAGGTCAGCCAGGGCTACAAAGAGAAACCCTGTCTCAAATAACAAAAACAACACCAGCAAAAGGAAATTCTTTTTTAACCAGGTAGGGTGGTTCACACCTGTAATTCTAACACTTGGTAGAGTGAGACAGGAGGATCACTGAGCGTTCAAAGCTAGCCTGGGCTACACAGTGAGTTGGATGTCAGCCTGGGCTATAGACCCATCTGTACCAACATCATTTATGGACTACTCGGGCTAAAAGAATATGAAAGGAGGGGCTGGAGGGATGGCTCAGAGGTTGGGAGCACTGACTGCTCTTCCAGAGGTCCTGAGTTCAATTCCTAGCGACCACATGGTGGCTCACAGCCATCTATAATGAAATATGGTGCCCTCTTCTGGCATGCAAGCATACATGGAAAGAATATTATAAACATAATAAATAAATAAACCTTTTAAAAAAAGAATATGAAAGGATGTCTGGGGAGAGAGACCAGTAGCCGCTCCTTTCAGAAGCATGAGGCTCTGGGCCATGTCCTTGGAATTCGTATGAAAATGCTGAGTGTGGTGGCCTGTGCTGGTGATACCAGTGCTGGGTAGCTGGAGGCCACAGACCTCAGATGGCCAGCCAGGTTAGCCTGATTAGTGAGCTCCAGTCACAAGGAGATGGATGTCATTCCTGAGGATAACATCGGAGGCTGTCATCCTGTCTTCACACGTGTGTACACACATGCACACACATATAAATAAGGAAAGCAAAGGACACTTGCTGCTGTGCCCTCCATTTTCAATAGGTTTCAGAATTCTGTGAGTAGACACCATTGAGAAAAGTTTCTTGTTTTCCCAGCAAACACTTGTATCTGTGAACATAGCCGTGGGTGCCTGAGGGTGCAGTAGAAAATATGTACACGTACACATGCAGTAGAAAATATGTACACGCACACATGGAATAGAAAATACGTACACGCACACATGCAGTAGAAAATATGTACATGCACACACGCAGTAGAAAAATATGTACATACACACATGCAGTAAAGAATATGTACATGCGCACATGCAGTAGAAAATATGTACATGTGCACATGCAGTAGAAAATATGTACATGCGCACATGCAGTAGAAAATATGTACATGCGCACATGCAGTAGAAAATATGTACATGCACACATGTAGTAGAGAATATGTATATGCACACATGCAGTAGAGCACTCTGTAGACAGACTGCTCTCTACATTTTTTCTTAGTTGGTAGATTATTTTGCCAACTTTTCTTTTTCATGGTGGTAGGATCTAGGCAGGTCTTGTACATACTAAGCACACACTCTACATGGTAACCTCCCTCCAACCCCCTGCCTTTCCGTATGCTTTCATGTCAATAGCCCTAGGTTTACTCCAGGGGTTAACAAGCTTTTCCTTTGAGGACTCTTGTCAGTTAATTTTATGAGCTGTACCATCTCTGCCACAGGTAAGTTTCTAAGCTAGTCACCTGTGCATTGTTGTGAGCACAGGTATGACTGCATTCCAGGAAGACTCAGCAGGTAGGAGGCTAGGGTGCACCCCGTGTAGGATGCTTGCCTTGTGTTCAAGCCAAGTAAAGAAACAAAACCTGAGAATTCAGAGACGGATGTGGTCCCTGAGCCATGACCATAACTGACTTGACAAGCCTTTATCCAAATACATTTACCTTGCAAACTCTTTTCTCTACCTGCGATTCCATATGCTTGTGCATAACCATCATTTGCTTTGTAAATATATCTGGAAGAAAATTCCTGAAGTGAAATTAAAGCACCAAACATACATTGAGGAATTTTGACAGAAACTGCCAAATTGCTTTCCACAGAGGCTGTACTTGTTTACATCCAAGAACTGTACATGAGGGTGCCAGATTCCTGACATGCTTGCCAACTCCGGGACGAACAGAAAGGCTGTGCCCTTCAGAGTGCTTGGAGGCTAAGGGAGCCTTGCCGTAAAGCTTTGCTGTTCCCTGCATGTGTGTGCTGCTGTGACAGTCATTCTGAAGAATGTCGTTCCTTCTCTCCTTATACCTTTCTGTACTGCCACTCTCGAGGCCCAGGCTCCACTTTTTCAGAAATGGAGCTTCCAAACAGAAGCTATGGGCTGGAGAGATGACTGGATGCTAGAGCGTGCCTACCGCTTCTGCAGAGGACTTGAGTTCAGTTCCCAACCCCATGGCTCACAACTGCCTGTCACTCCAGCTACAGATAGGACCTGATGTCCTTTGCTGGCCTCTGCAGGAAGCTCAAGTGAGAGTGGGAATGGGCCGTGAGAAGCGCTGTGCCCCGTCCATGAGTCTCTCCTCTTGATGTCAGAGCGACAGTGCAGCCTTCCCAGGAGCCCCTGCAGCCGCCAGTGATGCCACAGGATCTGGGCAGTCACTCCCGGGATCCTCAGCCATTTGTTGTTGTTCCTTATTTGGTGTGTGTTGTTGTGTCCTACAGAGTGGGAGGTGCAGAACCATATTCCTTCTGGAACTATACTGAAGGCCTTGATCAGAGATGGCGACAGTGGACCCTGGATGAGGTTTATGAGAGGAGAGATGACGACAGAGGGCTTCTTGGAAGAATTTGGGAGATTATGCTCTGAAATCGTGAGTGACACACATTTCTTTCCATTCTCGTGTTTCAGGGGAGGGTTGCTGAGACAAGGTATGTAGCCCACAGCAGTCTTGACCTCAATCTGCAGCCCAAGATGACTTTGAACTGATCCTCCTGCATCCACTTTCTAGGTACTTGGGTCACAGGCATGAGTTTCCATGTTTAACTTTTTATATTGTTCTTTTTGCCTTGAAGGTACTAGCATTCAGCCATAAATTGATTTAAACGAACTAAAATGAAAACCTAGTAGCCAGTCTTTCTATTTTTAAGCTATTGCTTCCATGGTGAGGCATTTCAGCTTTGAGTTTGTGTATGAAAAAATAGCTGTGCTTTTTACTGTAAGATACAGCAGATACTGAAACACCAGCCCTCAGCACAACGACTTTGAGCCAAAAGCTTATTAAATCAATAAACATTGACCATTTCCTCTGCATTGTACACTCTTTTAAGCTTTTCATTTACAGTAACGTCTGTAACCTTCATAGCTCCACTGAAATACAATTTAAAATATAGTGGTAGGTTCCATGGAAGGACAGTGTGCTGGTGAGCACCTGTGAAAGTGTGTCTAATGCTGCTGACTTATATGCTTAAAAATATTTACAGTTGCCGGGCGGTGGTGGCGCACGCCTTTAATCCCAGCACTCGGGAGGCAGAGTTTGAGACCAGCCTGGTCTACAAGAGCTAGTTCCAGGACAGGCTCCAAAACCACAGAGAAACCCTGTCTCGAAAAACAAAACAAAACAAAAATATATTTACAGTTATTAAATTTGAATGAGAAAATAAAAAAAAATATTTACAGTGGGCCAGAAAGAAGGCTCAGCCTGTGAAAGTGCTTGCCACCAAACCTGATGACCTGAGATCACTTGCCAGAATCAAAATGATGGGGGGAGGGACCTGACTCTTGAAAGTTGTGCTCTGACATCCACAAGTGTGAGATGCCACTTGCGCACCCACATATAAATAAATGTACTTTTAAAAAAAGATTTCTTTATTTAGTATGTGTATGTATATGTGTGTATATATATGCCAGTGTTCTGGCATGTAGGGCACCAAATCTCGTTATAGGTGGTTGTGAGCCACCATGTGGTTGCTGGGAATTGAACTCAGGAACTCTGGAAGAGCAGCCAGTGTGAACTTCTGAGCCATCTCTCCAGCCCTCATAAATGTACTTTTAAAAATACTAAAAATAACAGTAAGCCTCAGAATTATGCTAGCAGGCCAAAGGTCAAAGGGTGACAACTGAGTTCCTGCTGGCGAGATGCCATGTTGCTTCAGCTGCAGGTACAAGAAGCACAATTAGGTTTCTAGGAAGAGAAAATGGAGAAACTGCTCATGACTGATTTCTCTTTAGGGTGCTAAGTTCTCATTCACTGGTGATGGTTGCATGACTCTGTGAGGACTAAAACCATCATCTGGGTGTGGTGGCCCATCCCTCTATTCCTAACATGCAGGAGGCTGAGGCAGGAGGACTGAGCAAAACGAAAGAGCTGAGCATGCGTGCACACCTTTAGCCTCAGCTCCAGGGAGGCAAGGGCAGAGGGATCCCTGTGAGCGCCAGGTCAGCCATGGCCTCATAGTGAGACCCTGTCTCAAAAACACAAAAATAAAATGAAGGAGCCCTTGACCTGTGCACCTTAACTTGGCACACTGGCTGTGTTAGTTACATTTCAGTATAGCTATTACAAAATTTACCTGAGCCCACAAGCCTTGGCATTTTCAGATTTTGAAACCTGTTGTTTACAAAACCCACACATACTGGAATTTAAAAACAAAGAAAAATAGAGCTGGAGAGATGGCTCTGCGGGTAAGAGCACCTGCTGCTCTTGCAGAGGACCAGGGTTCAATCCTCAGCACCCACAAGGTCACAACCAATTACAACTCCACTTCTGAGGTTCCAATACCCTCTTCTGGGCCCTGAGGGCTCCAGGCAAGCATATGGTGCAGGTGAAACACCCATACACATATAATAATATACTTAAATAAAATATTTAAAGACCCTAAAATTACTCAGAAACTAAAATGTATAAAGCTGACACAAGGTAGAGCATAAAGTCGTCCAGTGCTGTAGGTTACTAACAGTAGATGACATCTGAATATGCTTTAAAGCTTAATGTTTCTTCTTCCTCCTCCTCCTCCTCCTTCCTCCTCCTCCTTCCTCCTTCCTTTTTTTTTTTTTTTTTTTTTTTTTTGTTTTTTTGAGACAGGGTTTCTCTTAGCTTTGGAGCCTGTCCTGGAACTAGCTCTTGTAGACCAGGCTGGCCTCGAACTCACAGAGATCCGCCTGCCTCTGCCTCCTGAGTGCTGGGATTAAAGGCGTGTGCCACCACTGCTGGCTTTTNCTGTACAGCCCAGGCTGTCCTGGTCTCTGCCTCCCAAGTGCTGTGATTAAAGCTTGCACCACCTCTGCCAGGCTAATGCATCCTCTTTTGCTGATCTGACGTTTGACTGTTAATCCAAGAGTGGAATTGAAGAACTCTTGAGACCAGAGTGGGAACACATCCCTGGCTACTTTAGTTATTCTAACTCTAGCTCCAAGTGCAGGGGCTTGCTTTTCTGTTATTGTTTTTTTTGGCAGGGATTGAGAAGGGGTCTCCCTGCCACCCTGGCTAACATCAAAGCTGAGATACCCCTCCTTAACTCCCCAGGGTTGAATTAAACCCCAGTTTCTTTTTTATATTTATTTATTTATTGTGTATACAACATTTTGTCTGCGTGTATGCCTGCAGACCCGAAGAAGGCACCAGACTTCATTACAGATGGTTGTGAGCCACCATGTGGTTGCTGGGAATTGAACTCAGGACCTTTGGAAGAGCAGGCAATGCTCTTACCACTGAGCCATCTCTCTAGCCCCCTAAACCCCAGTTTCTAGATGAGCTTCTAAAGACTGACATATAGCACAGCCAGTGATATCTACATGTTGCCTGGTTACTAGGGAGGCTGAGGAAGAAAGATACTTGAATCCAGGGAGTTGAGGCTTGTCTGGCCAATATTCTGAGAACTCCTCTGAAAATACAAATGAACCCCCTAAAGCCATAGGCAGCAAGCCTATGCAGTAAGATGCCAGGAATGAATTCTTGCTGGTGAATGCCTGCCAATTCTCCTGTCTCCTCTCCTGTTCACAGGCAAAGACTTCTGTGCCCGTGAACTCATTTTTCTCTCTGCTGACCAGTGAGCAAGTGGCAAAGCAGTTCCCAGTGATGACACAGGCCATCTCTCAGATCAGAGCAGGAGGCCTTCAGACTGCAGTCTTGACCAATAATTTTTATCTCTCCAATGGGAAAAGCTTTTTGCCCCTGGACCGGAAACAGTTTGATGTGGTAAGTAAGGTGATGGATGTGATGGAGACAGTCTGGGTACAGTCTTAAATATTGCCTGCTAGCAGTCTCCTGTAAGTGGGTTTCTACTCACACAGCTGCCCAAGTTAGGTTTACACATAATACGTTAGAAGTGATTTTTATTTTTATTTTTTGCCTTTTTTTTGTTTGATTGCTTTTTGGGTTTTTGTTTGGTTTTTTGTTTGTTTTTGTTTTTTGAGACAGGATTTCTCTGTATAGCATTGGCTGTCCTGGAACTCAACTCACTCACAGAGATTGGCCTGCTTTGTGTGTGCTGCTTTGTGTGTGTGTGTGTGTGTGTGAGTGTGTGTTAATTAGAGAGAGAGAGAGAGAGAGAGAGAGAGAGAGAGAGAGAGAGAGAGAGAGAGAAACAAAAAAGAAACAGGGTCCTGACATAGAGACCAGGCAGCAACTCACACAGATCTTCCTGCCTCTGCCTTCCAAGTGCTGAGACTAAAGGCATTCATAGCAAAACAGGGCTCTTGCAATGCTCACAGGCAAGTACTGATGAGGTGGAGACATCCCACATTGAAACCCTTACCTGCGCTTACATGCCATCGTCCCTCACATGTCATGTGGATTCTGACTCTTTCTCCACCTCCTGTCTGATGCTGACTTCCAGACTGGAGCCATCCCATAATCCCTCACTGTTGTCTGTGAGATGGCTCTGTGGGTAAAGGTGCTTGCCATAGAGCCTGAGGACCTGAGTCCTTCCTGCCTTTCGTACAGCATGATGGGCGTTTATGAGGTTCATGGCTCCTTTCCTTGGGGCTGGCACTGAGTGCGGCCCCTAGGTTGTGTCCCCAGGTTTTCCAGTCCCTCGCTTTAAGAAGGCAACATCATTACATAACAACCCTTCCCTGCTATAGTAAACAACCCTGCGCCAGTGAGCTTGTGGAAGCTGCACCTCTAGGCCGCTCCTCTCTCCCTCAGGTGGTGGAGTCCTGCCTGGAAGGCGTCTGTAAGCCAGACCCCAGGATATACCAGCTGTGCCTGCAGCGGCTGGGCCTGCAGCCCTCAGAGGCCATCTTCCTTGATGACCTGGGACAAAATCTAAAAGCAGCTGCCAGCCTGGGCATTCACACCATTAAGGTAATCCTGATGTGTCTGCTTAGTCAGCACAAGCATGACCCTGTGACCTTTTCCTCTTTGTGCCCGCAGCCTTTCCTGGTGACTCCCTTCAAACAGTGTTCAAGCTCTAACTATGAAGTCTGTAACTAGCTGCTCATGACTGCCGTGTGAGAAGTAGGCAGTGTGAGGAAAGTGTCCTTTGACTGACAGACTGGCTGAGCAGTGCTCCTCTAGATGGAGGGGCCAGGAGCCACAGCCACAAGGGTCACTTTAGGTCACAGCTGTGAAGTATGGAAGCCATGTGCGTGGGGGTTCCCAGCCAGTTTAGTTCGTCTGAGTTATCACTGTTGAACTCACAGGCCACAGAGACAGCCTCCACTCCAGCCCAGCCTTCGGCCCTCTCTACAAGTATGATATGGGCTTTTTTATTTGTCCTTTTGATTTAGATAGTCTTTTTGTATCCCAGACCAGCCTTGAACTCCAGATCCTGCTAGTGTAGCTTTCCAGATTGTAGGGAGTGTCACCATCCTGACCTCTCGAGAACCTGTGGATGGTACTCTCCTGTGATGACAAGGCTCGGCATTAGACGGAAGAGGAAACTCATTGTGCTTCCTCTGAGCTGAGCAAAGGCTCCAGAGGCCATTGTCTGAGAACTGACTTCTGGGCAGTTCCCTCTAAGCCAGTGGTTCTCAACCTGTGGGTCACAACCCCCTTGGAGGGCTCAAATGACCATTCCTGAAGGGTTGCGTATTAGATATTTACATTATGATTCATAACAGTAGCAGAATTACAATTATGAAGCAGCAATGAAAATTTTATGGTTGGGGTCACCACAACATGAGGTATTAAAGGGCCACAGCATTAGGGAGGTTGAGAACCACTGCTCTCTAAGGGGTGGTCCTCTTGGAGACAGGCAGGCTGAGGGCCAAGCTGATTGATGGGCACAAGTTATGATTTTTCCTGAAACCAGGTTGGCCAACCCGAAGCAGCAGTGAAGGAGTTGGAAGCTCTTGTGGGTCTCCCGTTGTCTGGGGGTATTCCCAACACTCGTCCTGTGAGGAAGACCATGGAGATTCCAGTGGATGCCTTGGAGAAGTACCTGAAGGGCTTGCTGGGGACCCATGGTAGGGCAGCTTTCCTGTTAGGGGACTCTCTCCACACAGTGTGATTGTCACTGCCCCACCCTGATGGACTATGCGGTGCTCTTCTGGGTATCCCCTCACCACAGGCCTCCATCTCAGAGTCTGGTGGGTCTGGCTTTGCCTCAGACTAGCCACTGAGGAGGACGGAGCTTGGAGATGCGTTGTGTTCAGTGAGTGAGTCTGACTTTTTAGACAGTAGTCTGTTTTGAGATGGTGACTGTATGTTATATGATTTTAGAGACTGGGAATCTAGCCAGGCAGTGGTGGCGCACGCCTTTAATCCTAGTACTCAGGAAGCAGAGGCAGGTGGCTCTCTGTGAGTTCGAGGCCAGCCTGGTCTACAAGAGACTGGGAATCTAGCTCAGTGGTAGAACACTTGCCTAGCATGGCTGAGGTCCTGGTTTTGTTCCCAGCACCACCAAAAAAGAAAAGGCTGCATTATTTAAAAGGTGGCAAGGTGACTCCTCTTCCCAGCTCCTCTCACTGTCTGTTTTACCCTCTGAAAGAAGGCATCCAGAGCTTTTGAAACTTTCCTGGTGAGTCCTTCCCCCAACTTGGTCCTCTGAAAAGCTCTTATTTATAGCTTCATAGCATGCTGTTTTCTAGCCTGGGTTTCCTGGCAGCACCCCCCCAGAACCGAAGGCCTCGAGACCATGCCAGCCAATGGCCAACTCCCGTGGCTGCTCACTCTCCTGCCAAGCAGAACAAATCTTACTATAAAGTGGAGAGTTTTTGAGGTCTGCCTCTTCCAGGAGCCTGCAAAAGAGCTGGGAAAGTGTGTGTCCTGTAGGCAGCTTTGGCGCCACATGACTCCTGTCAGCTGTTGTCAGTGTCAGACATGGTTTGGAAGAGCATGCATGAGGGACATACAAGAGCACTTTTGATCTCAGGCATAGGACATTCTGTGGGGCCAGATGTGTGGCCATGACAGCTAGGATTGATAAACAGAACCCAAGGGCATGTTTTCACCAGGCAGGAGTTGGCAACAAGCTATACACCCATACGGAGAGAAGAGGTGACCATTGTGTTAAGGAAGTGGCCTTTGCTGTCCTGTAACCGCATGTGGCTCTGAGTGTTTAAGCCTGGGGCTCAGTTGTTGTTTCTGGGAGGGGGAGAGTGGCATCTCTTGCTGGGAACCATACAGGAGGAAATCATACCTCCCAGAGGCACGCTGCATTGGGAGAAGGGATTCCCATCGGTTAGGATCTGGGTTCTGGCTCCCTTCTGAGTGCTCTGTATTGTCAAACCTGTAGGCCCCATGGAGCTCCTGCAGTTTGATCATGGACAGTCAAATCCAACATATTACATCAGGCTGGCTGATCGTCAGCTGGTTCTGAGGAAGAAACCCCCAGGGACCCTCCTTCCCTCTGCCCATGCCATAGAGAGGGAGTTCAAGTAAGTTTCTGGGTGAGGGGAGCAGAAGGTGACTGGCCAGCTGGTGTCCCCAGCACACAAGCTCAGTCCTAAACTGTCAAGTCAGTTTCTGTGGGACTGCTCTGAAGTCTCTCCCTCCTTTAAACATTCCATATTTGTGTGTGTGTGTGGACGTGAGTGTGGGTACCCATGGAGACAAGAGGAGGGTGTTGGGTCTCTTGGAACTGGAGTTACAGGTGGTTGTAAGCTGTTGTGTGGGTGTTGGGAGCTGACTTGATCCTCTGGAAGAACATAGCAGTACATGCTCTTTATTTTATGTGTATGAATGCTTTGCCTGCATGTATGCATGTCTGTGGCGGCTTAGATTAATGAAGACAAATTGTAATAAATATTTGCACAACTTTAATGGAAAAACCAGACTCACAAAACCAAGGTTCCCGCGGAGCACAGGAAATAGGAAGGGAAGGGCAGGCTTCTGTGCAGGCAATTTATCAGTAAACATTCGCCAGAGGCAAGTCCGCCCCCTTAGAGGCTGGCCTAACCCTACACACGTCCATTCACCACATGCCCATGGAAGTCAGAAGGTGGTGGCTCCCCTGGAACTGGAGTTACCGGTGCTTGTGAACTGTTATGTAGGTGCTGTAACTTGAATTCAGGTCCTCTGGGAAAGTAACTAGTGCTCTTAAATACCACACCATCTCTCCAGCCTCACTGTGTATCCCCGACTCCCTGGTTTTATAGACCAGGCTGGCCTTAAACTCATAGAGATCCACCTGCCTTTGCCTCTTATGTACCCAACTGCCCTGAAGCTTTTAAAACTATAATTACCAATTTCCACCAGAGGAGAAACATGTTGCCTCCTTTCATTCTGCCTCTGGTTTAATAAGGAGGTCTCACTGTTGCCTGGACTCGTCTCTAACTCCTGCATTCAAATGATCCTCATGCCTAAGCCTCCCAAGTACCCAATTTTTCTCTTTTTCTTTCTCTCTCTTTTCCCTTTTTGGGAGTCTCATATAGCCTGTGCTGGCATCAGACTTACCCAAAGATGACCCTGAACTCCTGATTCTCTTGCCTATGCCTCGCCAGTGGGATTGAAGGGGTGCTCCATCACTCCCCTCTTTTTACTTTAAATTATTCTTAATTTTTTTTTTTTTTTGGCTTTGGTTTTTTGAGACAGGGTTTTTCTGTAGCTTTGGATTCTGTTCTGGAACTCGCTCTGTCGACCAGACTGGGCTCAAACTCACAGAGATCCACCTGTCTCTGCCTCCTGAGTGCTGGGATTAAAGGAGTGTGCCACCACCGCCCAGCTAATTTTAATTTACTTCAATTAATTATTTGTCTGTGGGGTGTGCATAAGTGTGTACATGTTTGTATATGTACATGTGGAAGCTAGAGGCCAGCCTTGGTGTGGATCCTTACTGTCCATTGATTCTTGACATGATCTCTCACTGGGATCTGGGCTCAGTGACTAGGATTGGCTGACTGGCTGGTAAGCCCCCTGGACCACCCATCTCCCCCTCCCCACTCTGGGATTATCAGCATACACCTTTATGCTGGACTTTATGTGTAGGTGCCAGGATTTGAACTCTGGTGCTTATGATTATGCAGCAGCCATATATCTGACTGAGCTAACTTCCCAGCCCTTTTAAACAGAAGTTTGTTTGTTTGTTTGTTTTTCCTGAGCAGGATTTTTCTGCTGCACAAGTCTAGTGAACTGAGTTCACTCCCTGGAACCCACATAAAGGTGGAAGAAGAGAGCCATCCCCACAGAGCTGTCCTCTGACTTCTACATTTATGCTGTGGCACATGTGCCCCACATCGTGTATACATACATACACAATAATGGAGAAATGGTTTTACATGTTCTTACCATGCACTCTTGTAGCCATGGTCTCTAGGTTGCTCAGGTCAGCTTCCCTAGTAGCCAAGATTACAGACCTGTGCCACCAGGACAGTTTAAACACATAATACAGAATTCTAGCTCCAGATATCCGAAAGAGGAGGGGCAAACCCACTAGAAGCCTAGACTGGAGTCTCTCAAGAAAGACTTCCTCCTCTTTCCCCTGCAGTGCAGAGTGCGTAAGAAAGGGCAAGTTTGGGGCACAAGGAGAATGTGATGTCTTGGCCTCTCTTTCTTTTCCTGACTCCTGACTTTTGATGCTAGGTCACGGGCACACACCTGTGCTTGATGTGGTCTTCCTCCCTTTCTCCTTCCCTCCCTCCTTCCCTTCTTCTTTCCTTCCCTCTCTTCCTTCCGCCACAGTGGGGATGGATCCCTGGGCCTGTGTATGCCTGGCCCTACCACTCCTACCACTGAGATACAGCACCACCTCCACCATACTATTGTAAATTTATTTTTATTGCATGTGTTATGTGTTCTGCATGTGTATGATATGTGCACACATGCATTTGGCGTGCCTGTACATGTTCTTGTATATGGAGGCCCAAAGTCAAAGTCAGGTCTTGTCTCGGTCACTCCCCACCTTTAGTGTATGGGTGTTCTGCCAGCACACGTGTCTATGCACTCCATGCATGTAGTGCCTGCAAGGACGGTGTTGGATCCTCTGGAACTGGAGTTCCAGAAGGTTGTGAGCTGTCACGTGGGTGCTGGGAACCACACCTGAGCTGTCTGTAAGAACAGACAGTGCTCTTAACCACAGAGCCATTTGTTGTTTTTTTGAGACAGGGTCTTGCTATGTATCCCTGGCTTGGAACTCACTGTGTAGACCAGGTTGGCCTCAAACTCAGAGACCTGCCTGTCTCAGCCTCCCAAGTGCTGGGACTATAGGTGTGTACTGCCCTGTGGCTTATCCACCTTTGACATAAAGGTCTCCTAGTAAACCTGAAGTCATGCCTGTCCGTGAGTTCAGCACTCTGCCTGTCTTCACCCCAGGCACACTCCCAGACTGGGGTTATAGGCACGTGCTGCCATGCTCAGGTTTTGACATGGGTGCTGGGATGTTTGTGTGGCAGGCACTTTACCAACTGAACCCACCCCAACAGTGGACTATTTTTTAAATAGGAAAAGCAATTGCTCACAATGATGTCTTTTCATTTGTCCTGGCAGGATAATGAAAGCCCTCAGGAATGCTGGTGTCCCTGTCCCCACTGTCCTTGACCTCTGTGAAGACTCAAGGTAAAGACCTGTGTGTATTTTGCCGTGTGTCCTCAGACTACAAGAGAGAAAATCCCATTTACCGACTCAAGAGCCCATTCCTTAGAGCTGAGAAAATCAACTGTAGCCACCTCCCCCAGAACCTGTCACAGCCACATCCAAAATAGCTTTCTTAAGATTCCAAAAAACATACCCACTTAGCTGGCTGTGGTACAGTGTAATTCTAGCACTAGGGGCCCAGAGGCAGGAGTCTACATTGAGAGATCTTTCTCTTAGTAAACAGTATATACACCACACACACACACACACACACACACACACACACACAGAGTCCACTGAGTTTCATGTTGCTTGCTTTTGTTCTTTTTTGTTGTGGTTTAAAATTGTTTTTTGTTGTTTGTTTGTTGAGACAAGATCTCTATGTAGCTTTGGCTATCCTGGAACTATGTAGACTAGGCTGGCCTTTGCTTCCTGAGTGCTGGGATTAAGGGGGTGTACCACCATGCCCTGCACTTTTCTTTTAAACTGCTGTAGCAATCGCTCTCTCTCTCTCTGTGTCTGTCTGTCTGCCTTTGAGACAATTGTATGTATCCAAGGATGATTTTGAATGGCTGATCTCTGCTTGGACCTCCTGAGTGCTAGGCCTGTTTGCGTGGTGCTGGGACAGACCCAGGCTTTGTACATGCTAAGCAAACATGTTCATTCCTACTAAGCTGATCCCCCAGTTGAGTCTCTCTTCTTAATTTTTGATTAGGAAGGTTTTCAAGCATGTAGAACAATTGAAAGAAAACACAGCCCTGGAAACATCTATTTATACTTCGGATTACGATGTTGTTAATATTTGCCACATGTTCTTTTCATATATATGGAGTAATTTACATGCCTGTTTATTTAGTTTTTGAGACAGGCTCTTACCGTGTAGTCCAGACACACTTCTAATTCACAATTCTTCTGCCTCAGCCCCCACAGTGTTAGGATTACCACAACTGACTCCCAAGAATGTGTATGCATGTTCGTGAACATGAATGCGTATGTATGTGCATGCATGTAGAAGCTACACTTGAGTGTGATTCCTAAAGAGCCATCTTGTTTGTTTGACAAAGGTTCTGTCACTGGGACCTAAAGCCCTCTAGGCTGGCCGGAAAGCCCAGTGATCTGCCTGTCTGCCCCTCCTGAGCTGCGGCTGCTAGTGCATACCACCACCCCTGTTTGGGGTTTTGTTTTGTTTTGTTTTCTGTGAGCTCTGGGGATCAGACTCAGATCCTCATGCTGTGTGCAGCAAGTATTTTACTGACTGAGCCATCTCCCTAGCTCTTCCGGGATGTGTTTGATGGAACTGTAGAGGGGGCTCAGCGGTTAACGGCATTTGCCAGTCTCACAGAATACTCGGGTTCTATTCCTAGCATCCACACAGCAGCTCACAGCTCTAACCCCAGTTCCAGGGGATCCAATGTCCTCTTCTGGCCTCCACGACACGCATGTGCTGCACAGACATACATGCAGGCAAGATACCCACACACGTTAAAAAACAAAAAAGAAGAATATGTTTCAAGTCAGGGTAAGCGCAGAATAATTTTTTTTAATATTTATTTATTTATTATGTATACAATATTCTGTCTGTGTGTGTGCCTGAAGGCCAGAAGAGGGCACCAGACCTCTTTACAGATGGTTGTGAGCCACCATGTGGTTGCTGGGAATTGAACTCAGGACCTTTGGAAGAGCAGGCAACGCTCTTAACCACTGAGCCATCTCTCCAGCCCCTCGCAGAATAATTTTTAGAACCGCTTTTAGAGCAGTAAAGTACTTTCTAGTCATGACCAAAAGATGGCTAATAACAGGGCAGCAAGGGAGCTGGAGAGATGATGACTCAGTGGTTAAGAGCACTGGCTACTCTTCCAGAGGACCCAGGTTCAATTCCCAGCAACCACATAGCAGCTCACAACTGTCTGTAACTCCATTTTCAGAGGATCTGACACTTTCACACAGACATACATACAGACAAAACATGAATGCCCATGCAATAAAAATAAATTTTAAAAAATAACATGATAGCAAATTACCTGAACACCACTGTAGCACAAATAAGAAAAACCCAGAGACAAATATTGGGGTTCATCCTGAAGATCAGAAAAACAAAGCCGCCAAGTCACTCTGTGAAATCTTCAGACTGAAAAAGAGTGAGTTCCTGTCTCGTTCTGCCTTATATTCCTCTCTAATGCTGGAATTAAAGGCGTGCGTCACCACCGCCTGGCCTCTATGGCTAACTAGTGTGGCTGTTTTGCTTTATAATCTCAGGCAAACTCTATTATGAAAATACAGATGAAATATCACTACACACCACAAGGTGGTACATGTGCCTTCAGTGCCTTTAAGTAAGGTGGCAGATGGCATCAGGAACGAGGAGGAATGTCAAATAGCTGCCCCATGTATAAGTAGATCTACACCAGGACCTCTGTGTATTTGTTCTCTTCGTTTTAAAACTGGATGAAAAAGAGAATAGGAACCACGTGTAACTCCAGTCCCAGGGAGTCCAACCACCTCTTCTGGCAGGAGGATCTGGAGTTCAAAGACAACCAATGCTATGAAGTGAGACCCTGTCTCAAAAGATCCAAATGAAAAATGAAAACATTTGTATAGGCTTCTCAGTGAGTCTCCTTGGGATACACAGCTTAGTCAAGGACAGAAGTGGTACTTAAAGCTGGTACTCCTCCTCTTTAACAATTTGGCCTTATACTTACCACATTAAAACCTCTTCAGTGGCACTGGAGAGATGGCTCAGTGGTTAAGAGCACTGACTGTTCTTCCAGAGGACCTGGCCGGGTTCAGTTCCAGGCACCCACATGGCAGCTTACAAATGTCTGTAACCCTCACACAGACATAGATGCAAGCAAAACACCAAAGCACATAAAATATAAATAAATTAAAAATAAATTTGAAAAACTGAATTAAAAAAAAAAACTCTTCGGTGGTTTCTACACATGGGCCAGAGAGAAGCGAGAGGATGCTGGCTGTCTGCACACCCGGGTAGGCATGGTGGGGAGAGGTGATGGGCACTCTCAGTTCTCTGCACCTAGAGGCAAAGGAGCTCTGCCCCCTCCCAAATTCTCCTCACAGAAACTGAGGGGCTCCACGGCTGAGTCACTGAAATGCCCACCTCCGTCTGTGTCCCTGCCAGCATCGTCGGCACCCCCTTCTACTTGATGGAGTACTGCCCAGGCGTCATCTACAAAGACCCCTCCCTGCCAGGCTTGGAGCCCGACCAGCGGCAGGCCATATATGCTGCCATGAATCAAGTCTTGTGCAGAATTCACAGTGTGGACCTGCAGGCCACGGGCCTGGACAGCTTTGGGAAGCAAGGTGCGCAGGGGTGGCCCTTCCTCCACAGGCAGTTCCTCTCACAAAGCGAAGCTCTGCTGTTGGGGGCTCAGTGGTTGGGGTGCTGACACACAGCCCTGCCCACCTCCTAAACCCAGGCTGACCATAACTGGTTCTGCTTACCACTCATTTCATCCTTGGATAAGCCATGTCATGGGCTTAGTTAAGGATTCTGCTCTCCTTGCCACTTTTTGTTACTAAACTGTTTAATCCTTTCTTTCTTTCCAATGCTGATCATAGTAGTTAAGATATACTTCCTCCTTCCAGCTCTTCCTTCTTTTATTACTTTTTTGTTTTGTTTTGTTTTGCGACAGGGTTTGTCTGTAGTTTTGGAGCCTGTCCTGGAACTAGTTCTTGTAGACCAGACTGGCCTCGAACTCTCAGAGGTCCACCTGACTCTGCCTCCTGAGTCCTGGGATTAAAGGTGTGCGCCACCATCGCCTGGCCTTTTCTTACTTTAAAAAAAATATTTTATTTTATTTGAGCCAGGTTGTGGTGTTACAATTCTTTAATTCCAGCGCTTGGGAGGCAGAGGCAGGCTGATCTCTGGATAGCCTAGTCTACAGAGCAAGTTCCAGGACAACCAGGGCTATAGATAAACTCTATCTTGAAAACCAAACAAATAAACAAATAAAATTTTATTTGAGAAGAGTCTAATTGTACCCCCTGGTTGGCCTTGAACTAGAAATGTAGTTAAGGGTGGCTTTGAACTCCTGATTTTCCTGCTTATACTTCCCAAGTACTGGTATCACAGGGTATAGCACCATACTTGGCCCCTTTTGAGGTGTGTAAGGTTGTTGGGTTTTTTTGTTTTTTTGTTTTTCTGGCTTTTTCAAGACAGTGTTTCTCTGTGTAGCCCTGGCTGTCCTAGAACTCACTCTGTAGACCAGGACAGCCTCAAACTCACAGCAATCCTCCTGCCTTAGCCTTCTGAGGATTAAAAGCATTGCTACCACTGCCCAGCCTTGACCTCTTTAAAAAAGGAAGAGAGAGAGAGACAGACTTTTCTTGCTGTGTCTGGAGCCTCACTAAGTTGCCAAGCTGGCCTTGAACTTATCTGAAATATCTTCCCACCTCAATTTTATGTGCTTTAATATTATTTTATTTATTTATTTGACTTTTTGAGACAGGTTTCTCTGCGTAGCCCTGGATATTCACTCTGGAGACCAGGTTAGCCTCAAACTCAGAGATCCATCTGCTTCAGCTTCCTGAGTGCTGGGATTAAAGGTGTGCGCCACCATGCCAGGCTCAACTTTATGTGTTGTATCCTTAGCTTTGGGAAGACCCGGTCATGGTGAGGAAAGTAAGGCCCAGCAGGGTTAGGTAGGGTACCTCTCATCACACAGTTGGATGGCGGCAGAATTAGAGCCCACCCCTGGTAACCTGACTCCAGATCCATGCTCTTAACCTACCACTGTTAAACTTAACCAAGAAGGGATATTCCTGCCTGTTTGAAAGCTCACAAGCCTTCAAAGAGGGTTAGGGGTTAGTGCCTAGACCATGGTGAACCAGCTGAAGCAAAGTGACTTCCACAATGACAGGAGTTTCACGTAGGACTTTCCCCGTCACAGGAACAAGTTCAGACACAGGGCACTGTCACAGAGCTGCTGACGTTTTCATGGCTCTGCTGAACTTATGTATCGAGCACTGAAGGCTGCTGAAACAACATGCCATATCCTAACCCTCTTTCCCTCAGGGGACTATATTCTTCGCCAGGTGCAAACCTGGACCAAGCAGTACCGAGCAGCGGAAACCAGCAGCATCCCAGCGATGGAGAGGCTTATCCAGTGGCTGCCACTGCACATTCCCAAGCAACAGAGAACCACAGTGGTGCATGGCGACTTCAGGTAGACACAGCTCCAGGGGGCTGGGTAACCCCATGCGGAAACTTGTGGGCAAGGCCCATGCAGGGGAAGATTGAGCCTGTGGTCTTGGTCCGAATTACAGATGGGAATCATCACTTTAGAGCGTGTGAGAGCAGGCAGGAGACAGCAGCGGACTAAAGGCCTCTCAGCGGGGGCCACGCCTGAAGAAATCACTGGAAAAGCTCCCCTGGTCTTAGCATGTGCTCCCCTTAGAGCTAACACTTACCGTCAAAGAGTTCCACCTGCCACTCTATGGAAGAGGGCACCTTGTAGGAGGCAGGAACAGAAACTGCTGGTTTTGAAAGCGTAAAGCCAGTAAAGCAGACAAGCGAAACTGCCACAGCCGTCGGTCCACCTTAGCACAGCCTGGCACCTCGAGGGATCTTGGCAAAGATGCCAGCCTGCTGTTGCTTGTAGCACACGATAAATCATGTGGTTCCGTGGTGTGCTGGGATTCTGCTTAGCAGATAAAATAAACCGGTTGACTCTACATGAGTCAACCTAAATAAGGCTGAAGGGAATCATACTGAGGAGAAAAGATAAATACGTGTGATATTTGTGCAAATTCACCAAGGATTGAGAGAATGCAACCTGTAGATTTTTAAGTGTGCATAGCTAAGAGAGACAGAAAAATATGAGACAGATGTGGACCACGTTCAAGGAAGGTGGGGAGTGAGGGTGGAGGCCATTAGCTGAACCTGAGGTGTTTGTGTGTTAGACATTTAAGAAAAAGCAGCCAAGGCCGGGCGATGGTGGCGCACGCCTTTACTCCTGGCACTCGGGAGGCAGAGGCAGGCGGATCTCTGTAAGTTCAAGACCAGCCTGGTCTACAGAGCTAGTTCCAGGACAGGCTCCAAAGCCATAGAGAAACCCTGTCTCGAAAAACCAAAAAAAAAAAAAAAAAAAAAAAGAAAGAAAGAAAGAAAGAAAGAAAGAAAGAAAGAAAAAGAAAACGCAGCCAAGGGCTAGAGAGATGGCTCAGAGGTTAAGAGAACTGACTGCTATCCCGGAGGTCCGGAGTTCAATTCCCAGCAACCACATGATGGCTCACACCCATCTGTAATGAGATCTGGTGCCCAGAACACTATATACATAATAAATAAGTTTAAAAAAAAAAAAAGAAAGAAAAAGCCAAGCAGCAGGTGTGACTTCTGTGAGGAAGTTGGCACATGGGGTCATGTGCCATTCCCTGTATTGTTGAATGCTTGGTTTGTTTGTTTTTTTTTTTTTAAAGATTTAGTTACTTTTGATGAAGTGTCTATGTGCGCAGGTGAAGAACCGGTGCCGTGGAGGCCAGAAGGGATTAGATCCTGGAACTGGTGGTTGTGAGCCAAACTTCACCAGGTGCTGGGACCCAACTCGGTCTTCTGCGAGAGCAGTACAGTGCTCATAAGCACTAAGCCCCCTCTCCAGCTCCTCCCATTTATTTTAAGTCAAGCCTGCATTAGTGTCCAGTCAGGAATCGAAAGGACTCAGAGGCCCCTGGAGAGTTTAAAAGGAGTGCAGTGTGGCTCGGAAGCCACTGGACAGACCGCAGCCACAGTGCCATTCCTAACCAGCTGGCTTACCTGGGCCAGCATGCGCTACTGTAACAGACCGCGTGGCAGACTTCCCCAAGGCCTCTTTGCTGACAGCCGGGACAGGACAGCACACTTCCAGCAGTGTGGCTCTCTGGCTGTGGCTGGGCTCCTCAGGCCCTTCTCTGTGGCTTTGTGGTTTCTTAGTATGGTGGCCCTTGGCTAACGGGACCCCTGGTAGCTCGAGTGTGCTAAAGAAGCTATGACCTTCACTGACCTCCACCACCTGGAAACCCTCAGCATCACTTCCTCCACTCGACTTTGATTAGAGGCCAGGTGTTTCCTGGAGTGAAGAATTGGTGGCAAGTGTGTCAAAGAATCTGCAGGCTTGCTTTAGTGCCGTCACAGGGAGGGAGTGAATCCAGAAGGGGTAACTGCAGAGAGGCTCCTGGCCAGAGCAGTGGCCTTGGTAGGGGAGAACAATTAAATAAACATCCCCGCTGGTGCTGCTGACGGGCTGAGGCCAGCTGGTCCTGAGGACCCCAGAGCCCTAGAGGCTGGCCAAGGCTCAGCATACAGGCTGGTGGAGGGTGGGCCTGGGGGTGCGGATGGAGTCTTCTCAGCTATCTTCATTCCTTCTGTGGCTCCTCAGGCTGGATAACCTAATATTCCATCCTGAAAAGCCAGAGGTGCTCGCTGTCCTGGACTGGGAACTTTCTACATTAGGGGATCCCTTTGCGGATGTGGCCTACAGCTGCCTGCTTCACTACCTGCCGTCCAGCTTTCCCATTCTAAAAGGTAGGAGCCAGTTAAGCACTGTGGCACGCACTGGCTGGAGTGGCGGTGACTGTGCTGGGCTTAAAAGTGAGTTGCAAGTAGTTTGAATAACTGTATCACTGGAGTGTGGGGTGGGAATGGGATGCATCTCCCTTCACCCATGGTGCATTTTTTCTCTCTTTCCTTTCCATTTCTATTTCTTTTTTTTTAAGAAATGTTATTCTTTTTAAATATTTATTTATTTATTATGCATACAATATTCTGTCTGTGTGTCTGCCTGCAGGCCAGAAGAGGGCGCCAGACCTCATTACAGATGGTTGTGAGCCACCATGCCTTTAATGCTCTTAACCGCTGAGCCATCTCTCCAGCCCCCTCATTTCTTCTTTTGTCCTGGGAGTTGAGTCTTGGTCTTTGTGCATGCTGGCTGACACTCTAACACTGAGCTGTATCCCCAGCTTGCATTTGATTTTGTGTCTGGACAGGTTCTTGCTGATATGCCCAGTCTCAACATATACCTTCTATTCTCTGTGTGTATCTATCTTTGTCTTTATTTCTGGGTTATCTGCTCTGAGACAGTCTCTCATGGCTGACTGTCATTAAACTCTGTGTCACTGAGGCTGGCTTCAAACCCCTGCCAGTCCTACCTCCACTTCCCCGGTGCTGGGATTACAGGCACGTGTCATTGCACCCGGTCTGTTATTGAAACAATGCTTTGATTCAGTGACTAAGTGACCAAAACCAATGACCATATAATTTTATGATCTCATTTTTCCACTTAGTTGTATATTCCCCCTCCTCTAGGACTGTTTGTCATCAAATGTCTGGTTTAGGATGGCATCTCTCTGAGAGTTGTGGGCTGGGAGTAATCAGAAGCTGCATTCCTTTGTTTACTATTAATCTGGTCTGAAACCTTGAGAGGAAAAATCTGTAAAATAGGAGCTTCATGCTTGCCTCGGGTCATCGGCTAGCACAAGCTGTAAAAGCGGCTCAGGAGCATAGTGGCTTTCAGAATACATGTTTGCTAGTGGTAGGGGAGTGTAGGTGCCAACCACTTAAGGACAGTGTCTCTTGTCTCAGGGTTCAGGGACATGGATGTGACACAGCTGGGCATTCCAACAATGGAGGAGTACTTCAGGATGTACTGTCTGCAAATGGGCATCCCACCCATCGATAACTCTAACTTCTACATGGCTTTCTCATTTTTCCGTGTAGCTGCAATACTACAGGGAGTCTATAAGCGGTCACTCACAGGTAAGTGTTGGCCAGCCTGAGGGTCACAGAGGCTCTGAGGAGTCAGGTTTAGCCAGAATGATGTAAGGTTTAATTTTCTAAACCATCATAAAAATGTGTATGTATATAGGCAGATGTGGGGGCACACACTTGTAAGGTGGGGGTAGAAGGACAGAGACCTCAAGATCATCCTTAGCTACATGTTGTTGGGGGCTCCAAGAGGCTCTGTCTGAAAGTTTAGAAAATAAAAAAGCAGAGGAAGATGCCGGTGTGCTCTGTGATCACTCTGAGGGAATGGTGCCTAGACTGGCCATGGCCTTTTCTCAGAAGGGCTACTCTAGGATCTTGTAGGACTTCTTACTGGTCTCAGGTGCTGCACAAGTGACCTGAGGGTGTTACTAAATTTGCTTCTTGTTCTTTTTGTTTGTTTTGGGGACAGGGTTTCTCTGTGTAGCCCTGACTGTCCTGGCTCTTGTTGTGGTTGCGTTGCAGCCTGACCTTGAACTCAGAGATTCACCTGCCTCTAACTCCTAAGTGCTGGGATAAAGGTCTGTGCCATCAAAGCTTAGTTTCTTTGGGAAAAGGAATGGCAAACACCAGGGGACATCTGACCTCTGATTTCTAGTTCTCAGGGAGCTTACCCTCCTCTCCAAACTCGGTTTCCTTGTCCTCCAAGTTCAGATTCAGACAGTGCTGCTCAGGAGTGCAGGGCCCAGGCCCCAGTATGGACGGAACAGGTGCTCAGCCAGTGACAGTGGCTGCCCTCTGAATATCGGCTGTGTCACTGGCTGGTTAGGGGTCACCAGTTCTCCTTCCATTTTGCATAGGACAGGCAAGCTCGGCAATAGCCAAACAAAGCGGGAAGTTCCCTGAGTTCATGGCTGAGCTGGCATGGGACTTCGCCATCAAAGAAGGCTTCCGGGTTTTCAAGGAGATGCCAGCCTCCAAACCACTAGTGAGATCCTACCACGCATGGGCTGGGTCGCGGCCACAGAGAACTCCAGCGGGTGTGAGGAGTTCCAGCACTGCAGCAGCTGCTGCCCCTTCTCAGGAGACAAAGGGAAGCCTGATCATTTCTCCAGAGGGCCTCTCTCCTCGGGTCAGAAAGTTGTATGACCAGCTGTTGCAGTTTATGAAAGAGAATGTGTACCCCCTGGAGCCGGAGCTGCAGAGACACCAGGCCTCAGCCGACAGGTGGAGCCCTTCCCCGCTGATAGAAGACCTCAAGGTAAACAAGCTTGTCAACATGGCTGACCCTCCCCAGTGAGGAAAGAAGCAGGGGGACTGAGCGGCATGGCCTTGCTTTCCTGTCCCTAAAAGAGACAGCTGCTGATTAATCAGGTCTTATTCTGTCAAGGCCAAGTATCTGTGGGGAGAAGGGAGAATGCAAGCCAAGCAAAGTGCTTCTCCTGTGATCCCAGCACTAGGGAATTGGAGTCAGGAGGATGCAAAGTTCAGGCCACCTTCAACTAGTTGAGACCCTGTCACAAAATCGAGTAATACAGTCTGTGGTGTAGAGAGACTTAGGTCAGGTGGCATCTGTCACACAGATTTGAGAAGCAAGGCACAAGGTCACAAAGTCTCTTGCTAGAGACCGTATCAGAATCTGGGAGCTGAGCGACTGCGGTGCCAGTTGTCATTGCTTTGGGCATACGCTGTATCTCTGACTGCGCCTTCTTCTCCCCTTTCTGTTCCACTGGAGAAGGTAAGATGTGGCCATGGCTGGAGAGATGGCTCAGACCGTAAGAGAGCATACTGCTACTGCAGAGGACCCACATCAGGTGGCTCACACCACCTGTAACTCCAGCTCCAGTGGTTCCAACGCCACACCTCTAGCCTCCATGGGCCTCTGCACTCACATGCATGCACACAGACATCCTTACATTGTTTTGTTTTGCTTTGCTGTGTTTTGTTGAGATGGCGTCTCTCTCTATGCATCTGTGACTGGCCTGGAATTCAACACATGTGCCAGTTTGAGACCATCTCAAACTCAAGAGATCCACATGCCTCTGCCGCCCAAGTGCTGGGGTTAAGGATGGGTGCTACCACTCCCTGCTCAACTTTTTTTTTTAATAAATATTGTTTTGTTTTAAAGATAAAATTCAATGATTACGGCTCTCCTTTTTCCCCTGCCAGGAGAAAGCCAAGGCTGAGGGGCTTTGGAACCTTTTCCTACCCTTGGAGACAGATCCTGAGAAAAAATATGGAGCAGGGCTGACTAACGTGGAGTATGCACATCTGTGTGAAGTCATGGGCATGTCCCTGTACGCTCCCGAGGTACAGTCTCCAGTTCCCTCAGTGTGTGAGAACATGTCCCCACATGGCCTGTGTGGAAAGTCAGATCTAGGGGTACCATATGACTTGAACAGCACATGGGAAAGGAAGGCAAGTAGCAATCGGCCCAGCAGGGGAACCCACCCAGGGATGTGGACCATGGGGGCTTCCAGCCCCTGGCCCAGTTTTCTCCACTTCAAACAACTGATCCAAGGGGGTTTCAGGGCATTTGAGATTGACTTCAGGTATGTGTGAGCCTTTCTGGGGGAGAGAAAGGGCCTTCATGAGTTGTGAGTGAGTCAATGGAAGGAGTCCAGCCCAGCCTCTCCCAGGGGTTGAAGATGTTGGGGGCACTGACTGACGTGTTTCTTCTCTTCAGATATTTAATTGCTCTGCCCCGGATACGGGGAACATGGAGCTCCTGGTGCGGTATGGCACTGAGGAACAGAAGGCCCGGTGGCTGGTGCCCCTGCTGGAGGGCAGGATCCGCTCCTGCTTCGCCATGACGGAGCCCAAGGTACTGTCTTCATATGTCCCCTTTGGCGGGGTCCCTGGTGTCTGCTCCTGAGGAATGCAGGTCCATAGGGATTCTAACCAGAATGTGCTCCTGTGCAGGTGGCCTCCTCAGATGCCTCCAATATTGAGGCTTCCATCAGAGAGGAAGATGGCTCCTACGTCATAAATGGTCACAAGTGGTGGATCACAGGTACTTGGCCTGAAAATAGTTTTCACTTTTTCATTCTGTGCAGATGAGCAGGGTAAGATGTGTTGTGAGCCCTCTAGGTGGCACCGGATGAGCACACCTGTGGCTATATGCCCCTGCAGGCAGCTCTGCCACGCCCTGCCAGCCTCTTTTCCCTGGGAGTCTTCCTGGTGGCTTCCCTTTGCTGTGAGGTCATAGGTGTTGTTTCTCAGAGGCTTCCAAGTGCCTCTCTGTCCCTCAGCTCACAGAGCTGATGACCTCATCCATCCCATTTCACAGGAGGAAACTAGGACTCGGGGAGACCGGTCATTTACCCAAGGCTGCAGCAGCTGGCGGGTATCAAACAGACTTCAGAATTTGCTGGATTCCAAGACCCGTGTCCAGAGCTGTCCTTCCTAGTATTAATGGGGACAGCAGAGCAGGCTGTGGGAGGAAGCAGCAGTTTGTAGATTTTTTTGTCTGTCAATGAGAAATTTACATGTGAGAGAGACAGAGACAGAGAGAACAGAGGTGTGGGGTGTGGGGAAGAGAAGGTATCATGTAGTCTGTGCTGACCTCAGACTTGCTATGTAGCTGAATCTGGCCATGAACTCCGCATCCTCAGGCCCCTACCTTCCAAGTGTTACAGGTTTGCGCCACCACACCTGACTCAAATTTATGTATTTTTCAAAAATCCAAATACCTGTTAGATGTGGGGTTGCACAAACTGTAATCCCCGGGTTTTTGATGTAGAGGCAGAGGATAATGCAAATGTGGGGATGTCTGCTTGATCATGTATGAGTTCAAGGCCAGCCTGGGCTACCTGAGATACTGTCTTAAAAAACAAAATTAAACTTGAGATAGAGACTCTATGTAGATCTGGCTGTCCTGGAATTCCTGGCATAGATGAAGCTGGCCTTGAACTCACTTGCCTTGGTCTCCCAAGTGCTGGAGTTAAAGGTGTGGGCCCCTACACCAACTTCATTGTGATTCGTAGGAAGTGACCCACGGAGATGGCTTGGGGGTTAAGAGCACTTGTTATTGCAGAGAACGTGGGTCAGTTCCCAGCACCCACACTGTGGCTCACAGTGGTTTGTAACTCAGTTCCAAGTGCTCTGACTTCCTCTGGGATAGGCATGTGTGTGATGCACATTCATAGATTTAGGCAAAACGCACATGTAAAATAACTGTTTTGAATTTTATTATAATTGTTACGAAGTGAACTCTTGACACTTGTTCCCTGCCATATTCAACTTTCTCTACATCCGCACATTTGTAACTCATGGAAGCTCTGTCAGCACTCATCCTGTCCTCTGCTTGCTCAACCTCTCTTAGGTACCGTACCTTCTGACCATGTGCCAGGATCTAATGTTCAGAGCACCTATGGCAAGAAGAAGGGATGGGAGGAGAGGGGACAGAGAAGAAGGGGAGCAGTGAGAATGAATGAAGAGTTTCCTGCACAGTAGATTTTGTTTTATTCCGTGCTCTGGTCAAGTGTTCCATCTGAGCCTCCTCTCTCGTCCCTCCCTCCATCATGTGGACTCTGAAGCAGTCACTCAGTTTATGCAGTGTGCTAGCGGGGTGTCTTTGGTATGTTTGTCACACTTTGACATGGAGAGCACACAACAGCTATTCTCAACAAGGACAGCCAGTCTCCCACGGCTCCAGGAAGCACAGCAGCAGCCGGCTGGAAGCACAGATCTGTCTTGGAGTCTTAAGAGTCCGAGTCCTGCAGCAGGCACCAGCGTGGAAGCTTGACAACCGGCAGTTCAGTTGTCTTCTGGGTGTTTCCAGGAGTGCCACTGTCCTGGGCCTAACAGCCACCAGGGTTCACTAGAGGGTGGGAGCGTAGACCCAGCCCCCCAGGCCTGAGAGTTGTATTGGGGTCAGGACCACTCCCACAGAGTATTATTTAAATGAGCTCCCAAAAGAGGAACACAGTGTCTTCTCTTTTCCTTCCTCTCAGTTTCCCCTGGGGGCACCTGAGAGCACAGGAATCCCATTAAACCTGGATTTTCTTAATTTGGCTTGTTTTGATTTGGCTTGATTGGGAATTTTGCATCGGCAGAAATATTCCTAACAGTGTGCTCTCTTCAAAGTCTTTTGCAGTCAGTTCTATCGTTGCTACTTCACTATGGTTAAACTTGTGAGCTGTTTGTTTTGTACCATCCATAACAGACATCACATAACCCATTTCCTCAGCTGGACCTCAGCAGGCTAGAGAAGATGCTTATAGCAGCCACCTTGGCTTTTGTTTCTATTTCTTCAAGTCTAACATGATGGTTTTTAATTTTTTTTTTTCGGTTTTTCGAGACAGGGTTTCTCTGTGGTTTTGGAGCCTGTCCTGGAACTAGCTCTGTAGACCAGGCTGGTCTCGAACTCACAGAGATCCGCCTGCCTCTGCCTCCCGAGTGCTGGGATTAAAGGTATGCGACACCACCGCCCGGCTTTAATTTTTTTTTTTTTTATGGGAGTGAAGAGAGGACTGAAGTAGTTACGGTCACTAGCTACTCTTGCAAGAGAACCAGGACTTGATTACCAGCACCCACATGGTGACTCACAACTGTCTATGACTCTAGTTCTAAGAGATCTGACTCCCTCTTCTAGCGTCTTTGGGCACTGCAGTCTCAACATGCAGACAAAACATACATACAGTTAAAACATTGTTCCTATGGTGCTGGGTCCCAGTCTCAGTGCAGTAAGTTCTGTCTGGCCTGGAGCCTGCATGGGTGGGCGCTTCTCCAATCCTGTGTATCTATCAGTGTCCTAGCTTTGCTTTAGGGCTTCCTGTGATTAGATGTTCACTGGCCTTGGCATGCACTGACAGAATGCTCTCCCTTCTCTCCTGGCAGGCATCCTGGATCCACGCTGCAAACTCTGTGTGTTTATGGGAAAAACAGACCCGCAGGCCCCGAGGCACCAGCAGCAGTCCATAATCTTAGTTCCCATGGACACTCCAGGAATCAATATCATCCGGCCTTTGTCAGTGTATGGGTTGGAAGATCCCCCAGGTTAGACCTCCTGGGGTCAGTCACCCTGAGTGTGGCTCCAGTACGTGGGCAGCAGTTTGGGGGAGTGCTTGTTCTGTTCAGAATTTTCTACACGCCAAGGATCTGATAGCGTCGGTAAGACGCGTCCCAGCCCTTTATTTCCTAAGGAGCTAGAACTGCTCGGCAGACTGCCTGTGGGTGTTTATGCTTGCCTTTCCTCTTCTAATCTCAGAAGATGATGAGGTCCGGCAGAGGCGCCAGGGCAGCAGTGCAGTTCACAGCCCCAGTTGAGCCCCTGTGTGAGGAGAGAGCCTTCCCTGCTGACAGAATTCACACCCTTACTTCTGCATCACATAGAGGTTCTGGCCTGCATCGTATTTTAACCACAGGGCCTGAAAGATCACTCAGTGGGTACTTCCACCAAGCCTGATGACCTGAGTTCAGCCCTTGTCACCCATGTGGTAAAAGGAGACATCTGACTCTGCTATTTGTCCTAAAAGTATAAATAACTGTGGCCAGGGAGGTGGCTCAGTAGGGAAAGAGTCTTGCTGCCAAGCCTGACAAGGTGCGTTCAATCCCCAGGACCTACATAGTAGAAGAGACCTGACTCCTGAACATTGTTTTCTGACCTCCAAATTCACTGTGCCTGTGTGCACACATATACACACACTCAGCAGTAAATTTGATATACAAAACTTTTAAAGAAAATGGCAGAAGCTGGGCAGTGGTTTAATCCCAGCTCTCTGGAGTCAGAGGCAGGCAAATATCTGTGTTTAAGGCCAGCCTGGTCTACACAGTGAGTTCTAGGACAGCTATAGCTATGCAGAGAAACTCTGTCTTAAAAAACATAAGGAGCTGGGCAGTGGTGGTGCACACCTTTAATCCCAGTACTCGGGAGCAGAGCAGAGGCAAGCAGATCTCTGAGTTCGAGCCCAGCCCGGTATACAGAGCGAGTTCCAGGACAGGTTCCAAAGCTACACAGAGAAACTCTATCTCAAAAAAGCCCCCCCCCCACTAAAAAAAAAAAAAGAAAAAGAAGAAAAGAAGAAAACCCATAAGGAATGGCAGAATAGAATAACTTGGTTTTTTTTTTTTTCCTGAAAACAATTCTCTTCCATTATTTCTGGGTCCCCTGACCCCTTCTTAGCTGTGACACAGTTAGAAGGCTAAGGTCTGGGAACACGTAGCCCTGACTGAAGAGAGGAATAAACACACCCAAGAAAAATGTATTTTCATCTTTCAGGGGGCCACGGCGAAGTACGATTCAAGGACGTGCGTGTGCCAAAAGAGAACATAGTCCTGGGCCCTGGTCGAGGCTTTGAGATCGCACAGGGCAGGCTGGGGCCTGGCCGGATTCATCACTGCATGAGGCTGATTGGGTATTCAGAGAGGGCCCTGTCACTCATGAAGACACGCGTGAGTTCCCTCCCTAGTGCCCACACTGACCAACAGCCACTACTGCTGTCTGGGAACTCAAACACTGGAACCCTTCTGAAAACAGACCTCACAGAGTGATATTCACATCCAGAATCTGTGGTCTCTACTTTGGCCACAGCTGACTTCCAGAGTGGAGTGGCCACCTCCGGCAGGAAAGGCCAGGCAGGCTTTATGGTAGCTGAGGGTGAGGTTCCAGTGCCCACAGGATATGAGTAGCCAAGAGCTATCCATGCTTCCAGAACATTGTTAAAACTCAGACCCCAGGGAGATCCTGAGTTGTCTGTCTCTGTGCCCTGGGGTCACAGCACCTGGCCCGGTGCATATTGCCTTCCTTGTCCAGTGTGGTCAGAATATAGAATCTGAAGCCAGCATGGTATCTTATTCCAGCACTCAGAAAACTAAGGCAGAAGGATTGTTGCAACTGCCAGAGTCGCCTAGATTCCATAACAGGACACTGTCTCAAACAATGAAAGCCATTTGCCGTGGGCCCCTTAACAGCTGGAGGCCTACATAGTATAGGGGTCTCTGACTATCAGGGTAGCAGAGTCAAGAAAGCAGTTCAGTTCAGCCCGACTTCAGGAGTCTGACCCCCAAATGTTTTACTTTCGGTATCTTGAAGCACAGCATAACTTGGTGCAAACTTATTCTGGTGATGATAAATGCAATCCTGTGTACACAGAAAAGCATACATAAATCTCTGAGGAACAAAGTAAGCTAAATAGAGATGGGGAGAGACTACACTGAAACTCTGTAACGTCCCATGACAAGCTTATAATCAGAGTCTGGGGTAGATTCTGTCAGGACGAGGTTCTGGTGTGGTCTCCAGCCACAAAGATGGCACAAAGGTCACCAGACTTTTTGCCACATCCTCTCTCACAGCCCAGGTTCACATATAGAGTTGGCCTGGATCTCTCCATGTAAGCAAGGATGACCTTGTTGGGACTCAATTGAACCATACCATTCCTGGGTGGAAAGTAGCTTCTTAGGATAGAAGCTACTTTTAAACATATAATCTAGAGTTGGGCGGTGGTGGCACACGCCTTTAGTCCCAGCACTCGGGAGGCAGAGGCAGGCGGATCTTTGTGAGTTCGAGGCCGGCTTGGTCTCCAAGAGCTAGTTCCAGGACAGGATCCAAAGCTACAGAGAAACCCTGTCTCGAAAAAACAAAAAAACAAAAACATATCATTTAGGGATACTCACAATGCCCCTAAGTTGTATGTTTTAAAAGCAGACTGGAAGGGGGGATACTCACAATGCCCCTAAGTTGTATGTTTTAAAAGCAGACTGGAAGGGAAAAGTGTCATGGCATATACCTTGAATCCCAGCTCTCTGTAGAGAGAGACAGGCAGATCTCTGTGAGTTCAAGGCCAGTATAGTCTACATAGCAAGTTCCAGGACACCAGGGACTACCTGGAGAGACCTGTCTCAAATGAACCAATGGAAAGAGGCTACACAACACTATGTGGACTATGACTTTTTTTAATGGGGGGAGGACAGTGAGTTGGCCCAGCAGGTAAAGGTATCTGCTGTCAATAATGTTGCTAACCTAAGTTTGGTCGTTGGGGTCTCTGGTACCATCTGATGATATTCTTAGCTTTTGGGTTGGTGGGAGGGAGAGCACTTCACATTCCAACAGGATTAGTGACAGGTCTTAATTAACACTGCAGTGGGCAATAAGATGCTGGCTCTGGACCTGCAGCATTGCAAGCTCCCTGCAGTCGGTCCATCAGCCTTGGAGGGTGTTCCGTATAGGTGCGGCATCTGTGATGAGCATTATCGCCTGTATACAGACGCTGCCGCCAGCCAGCTCCCGCTTCTGCTCTCCCCTCCTGTGTGCCCGGCTCCTCAGCCTCGTCTCCCTGGTATCTGTAGGTGATGTCCCGCACCGCCTTCGGGAAGCCCCTCGTGGAGCATGGCACCATCCTGGCAGACATTGCCCGGTCACGTGTGGACATCGAGCAGGCACGGCTGCTGGTGCTGAAAGCTGCACACCTCATGGATGTGGCAGGAAACAAGGTGGGAGGCCTCCCAGGTCAGAGGTCACCCTGGGGTGACACCGCAGTGGGCCTTCTCTTCTTTTTTATTTTGTTTGTTTGTTTATTTATTTACTTATTTTCGGTTTTTCGAGACAGGGTTTCTCTGTGGCTTTGGAGCCTGTCCTGGAACGTAGACCAGGCTGGTCTCGAACTCACAGAGATCCGCCTGCCTCTGCCTCCCGAGTGCTGGGATTAAAGGCGTGTGCCACCATCGCCCAGCGGCCTTTTCTTTCTAGCTTAGCTCTCGGACACTGATGACTGCTACTGTTCTCTTGAACTCTGGCCGTCTATCCACTCCAGAAAAGGCCAGGAACAGGGAACTTTCATTTACCAACTGGGAACCTTCCTGATTTGAGAAAAGGAAGTCTGGTGGCCCCTGTACTCCTACAGCATGTTGGTGGGGGAGGTGGATGACAGAGGAGAGAGCTGGGGACAAGGGACCTCACAGGCCTAGTCCAAATTCAGCATTAGCCAACACAGGGCCTTGTTCCCAGAACAACATGACCCATTGCCGGTAGCAGCTGGGCATGGTACATGCTGACTGCTGTGTTATCTGGCCTTCTAAGCAGGGACCCTACACCCAGCCAAGAGCTGCAGTGATGGGGTTGTGTCAGGAGCACAGTTCCTGACTCTTTGATGCTCTAGTGGCCAGCCCCAAGGTCATCCTCTGGCTTTGGTCCACTGTTGCCTGGAGCTGGACCTGGACACAGCTGTTTGTGTAGGTGGCGTTTGGAGTCAAACCCAGTGCCTTGCAATTGCCAAGGGAAGTGCAGGGAGGTGCTGTCCACAGCCAGTAGCTCAGGCCGCTGGATCTGGCTTTGGCCCAGAATGCAGCAGCAGCCATTCCCTTTACCCTAGTCACTAGTCACACTCACTTGCAGAACCCAACTCTGTGTCCACCCTGACAGTTTGACTTTGTGTTGCCCTCCCAGCACCTGGTCCTCCGTTATTCTAACTCTACCTTCTCCTGCAGGCTGCAGCTTTAGAGATTGCCATGATCAAAATGGTAGCCCCATCCATGGCCTATCAAGTCATTGACCGCGCTATTCAGGTGAGCCACCCTGCGCTTTACCCTTCAAACGAAGAGTGCAGGGGCCTCCCTCCTTCCCTAGTCCAAGACAGTGAGTGTTAGCTTGTAAGTAGCTGGCCTTGGGCTCCTCTGCTGCTGCTCACACCCTATGTCCCGACTCTGCAGGGTTCCTCCTTCCACATCCTGACACCTGGTCCCACACAGCACTCTCTAGGTAGCAGAAGCAACCTTCTTGGTGACTCAGGCATCCAGTAGGTGGCAGTGTCCCCATGAGAGGTCTGAACTCACAGGTGTCACAGGGCATCCCCAGGTGTTCTGAGCAGGATGTCACTTTTAGAGCTCACCCAGGCCTTCTCCTCCTCCCTGCCATGTGTCCGGAAGGCCTTTGGAGCAGCGGGCCTGAGCAGCGACTACCCTCTGGCTCCTTTCTTGGCCTGGGCCCGAGCCTTGCGCTTTGCTGATGGCCCAGATGAGGTCCACCGGCTGACCGTGGCGAAGATGGAACTGAGGAACCACAGCAGGCTGCAGGAGCCAGCAGCACCCAGAGTGTAGGTTCTGTCCTTGGGAAGACCAGGTATGCGTGCTTCTTCTATCGTGTCCAGCACCTCAGTGTGGGGCAGGCGTGCTGGCTAGCGTTTCTGGGTAGCCTGTGAGTTTGTGTTTTAAGCATGGAGGAAGAACATTGGGGTCCAGGCCTGGGGAGCTGGTCCCGTGTTCCTCAGAGTTGACATCATGGTCCCCTTTTGCAGGCTGTAGGAATCTGGACACCTGTGTGCTCTGTTCTCTCCAGAGGCGATGGGGTTCCTTCTCAGGGCGTCTAGGAAGGCAGACGGCATGAACCGCAGCAGACGCTCCCTGCAACTGGAATGAAACCATTCTGTGACAGCTAGAGTGCCCGCATCAAGTGCCTTATTACCAAGGGGCTTTGGGGACACAAAGAGTCTCTGTACTTCCTGTGTCACATGAAAGACATGGGAATAAAAGCTCCCACAGCCCTGGGACTCAGGTGTCGGTGGCTTCCTCACAACTATGCTGCTTCCCCTGCACTGGCCCCATATGCTGGGGCCCTGTGGGACGTGGATGCCATCGCTCCCGATTCTCCCCATGTCTTCTTCACATCCCCTCACTGTAGGCCCATATTTCGGTATGGTGGAGTAGCCAGGCATAAAAGCCATAGGCCCGGTCTGAGCTGATCACGTAGCTCTGCAGACAAGCTGTCTCTGCGTAACAATAGCAAGGATGTACTTGCTAGAAATGTAGATCTCCTGAGGAGAGGTGTTGGCTGAAACTGGTCAGGATGTTTGGGGCTTACTTCTTGGTAATTTGGAGGAAGTCTTATAGAGATGCTAATTCATGGACTATGTGACAGCTAACATACAGGTAGATGCGGACGAGACAGAAGGCCATTCACCTGGTTACCTAGGAGACGAATCTAATGTGTTTTCCCACTCAATTTATGTGCTGATATATAAGCTGTTTGGAGAATAAACGAGATCTTGCCCTTCCATGATGACCGTGCAAGTTGTGTCTGATTATTCCTCGCGACTCCGTACCAGTCCAGTTAGGGAAGATAATTATCTGTGTTGGACCCACACGGGCTCCAACACCTCACCAGAAAACTTCACCAGAGGAACCGTGCCACCTGAGTGAGATCCCCATAACTGCCACACTCTGCTGCCTGTCAGCAGTCCTGTTGCGGCACGGGGGAAGACAGACAGGAACAGAGGCCCCATGAGACCAGAAAAGAAGCAGCTATTTTAGGAAGACTTGGCATTAAGATGCAGCCCAGCCCATCTGCAGGCAACAAGTTTGGCCGGCACCATCACATGCTGTACTGTAAACCTGACCTCAGGGTACCTGCTTCCCCCATGGACCTGATGCACAGCTTGGCCATGCACTGCCGAGTGCACAGTCACAACAGGCTCCTGAATGGCTTTCTCAGGTGTGCTGGTCCGCACATGAGCTGGGGACACAGGTGCCACCACATCTGAGGAACAGTTACTGAAGGAAGATGGATGTTGTGCCTACTGTTCAATGTTAGCATAGTGCCAGCACACTGGTAGATTCCGCAACCTGAGCCCCACTTCTGTTTCATGCCAGAAATAAAGGGGTTTGTAAAAAGGAAGTGTCATGACATGGCATATCATGGGCCCTAAGAATGTCTCTCGTGACTTCTGAGATTAACCTTGCTCTACTGCAATGCTAAGGCATGGCCCCACACCTCTCTCAGATTCGCTGCTTCAAGGCCTGGATACACCCACATGTGCAAGCATATAGTCTTTAAAAAAATTTTTTTTAAATATTTATATGTATACAGTGTTTAGCCTGCATGTATTCTTGAAGGACAGAAGAGGGCACCAGATCTCATTATAGATGGTTGTGAGCCACCATATGGTTGTATGGGAACTGAACTTGGGGCATATGGTCTTAACCACTGAGCTATCTGCACAAATCCCAATGTGGGTTTGTAAAAGACCCTGCCAGGGCTAGGAAGAAAACAGGGCTGGGAAAGAGCTGGCTGCACAAGAATAAACTCCCGAGTTTGTGCTCCAAAGCCCACATGGAAAGCTGAGTGTGTGGTGTATACTTGTGATCTCTCGGAGGGCAGTGACAGGAGGGTCCCTGTGACTCACCGACCAACCAGTTCTGCCGGCTTGGTCAGTTCTAGGTCCTGTCTCAAAAATCTAGGTGATCAGGTTCTGAAGAACGACACTAGACGTTGTCCTCGGCTTCCACACACATGTGGACACATGCACCTGCACATATGAAACACACACTCAGAGTAAATGACTCTTTTAAGATTTATTTATATGTATACAGAGTTCTGCCTACAGGCCAGAAGAGGGCACTGGATCTCGTTACAGCCAGTTGTGAGCCACCATATGGGAGCTGGCAATTGAACTCAGGACCTCTGGAAGAGCAACCAGTGCTCTCAACTGCGGAGCCACCTCTCCAGCCCCTGTAAACGACACCTTCACTTTTCAAAGTTGTTGAGGTTTGAATTAAGGTTATGTTAGTACATAATGAATCCGTGACTTGGGCATGGAAACATTTGATGTTGATATTTCTCAAGAAAGACATCGGAATGCCAACAAGTGGAAAAGGAAAAAGGAACACAGGAATGTGTGCCACTTACCTCAGTTTCTAGGGACTAGAGTACATGATGCTCCCACTCCCAAGAGTGTTTTCTGAAGACAAACACTGCTTTGCTTATATAACCCTGACGTGGTGCCTGTGAAGAGCTCTCCTCTGCTGAACTGTAAACACCAACTACTAACAATGGAGCTGCAACAATCAAAGTGGCCTGGCCTCAACTCGCACCCACCAGCTGAGGCTACCCAGAGTCCCCTGCTTTCCCACCTTCAGTTCTTGCATTTGTCAGGAGAAGCGACTTGGAGAAACTCTCACAAAAGTTCACCGCCATTCGAGCCGGAGTTCCCTAAAATCCATGGAATCCAGTGGAGTCTCCCACAAGAGTAATAGATACAAAATAAAAAGGAGTAGGCGTCATGGTTCTAGCGGCATGGGGAAGATTCCAGGATCACCTGGCGTGGCCTTCCCAGCCTTCCTCATCTGACTTCCAGCTGGCTGCTCAGGCCCCAGAGGGCTTGGTTTGGTGGTGATCCAGTCTTCCCAGTTTTGTGGATCCACCCCACTGTGGCCTGACCTATCCTGGAAGAGGATCAAGGCATAGCCATCCTGCATTCCCTTCTCTCTCCACAGCACACAACCCTCTGGGCCCCTCTGGGCACATAGTGGGAGGATTTCCATAGGGACAGAGGGACTGGCTGATTCCAGGGTCCTGGCCACCTTTGCTCCTATGCATCCATTTCTTCCTCTTTGTATTCCCTGCCAAGCCCTGTACTCAGCCTGTCCTCAGCCAAGCCCTGATTTCAGATACAGTCTGATGATTCTAGAACCATCCCGAGAGGCTGGTCTCCTCTGCCTGCCCAGGGCCTTCAAGGCCACGAGGAAAGTGGCTCCTGAGAGCAGGCTCCAGGATACATCACATCATAGGGTAGTTTTCTGTCTCCTCAGGGCTTCACTCAGCCAGGACTGTGTCAGCAAGAGCCCCTAGGCAGTGTGGGCTGACTGACACATAAAGTCATGTGACCTGGGGACCAACTCTCAGAGATGAAGGATTGGACAAGTAGCCGGGCCAGTCTTTCTTCTGATTACAGCAACACCCTGGGTAGAAGGCTTTGTTTTTATCAGCACCTTAGATAACTCGGTAGTTAAGGGCTAAGGGCAGTAGGAGATAGCCAAGGCCAATCCTAGCTGAAGTGGTGTGGCCTGGTTTTATCCAGTCACGTGACCGGGGAAGGGGTCAATGTGAGGTGAAAATGCTAACTTCTGCAGAAATGGGGGTTAAGCAAATGTAGGACGTGGAGTTGGCCATCTGGGCTTCCAGGTTGTCCTTCTGGACATTAAGGCACAGGAGAAGGGGACTCTGCCTGTCTTCAGTGTTGTTTGCAACAAGCAGGAGCTTCCCTGGCAGCAGAAGATGTCCAGGCAGAAAGCACTTTAAGGGACCTGGGTTCATCCTGATGATGAGGCCTTGAGCTGCTAGGAGCTGTCAGTGTTGACTGCAGTCTCTTTGTGTGGCTTGTGCAAATACAGTGTTTCTAGGCCAGCTGGAGAAGCGGGCCCAGAGAGCCTGCCTGGCCAGAGTTGGGTCAGGGAAAGCATGTTAGTTCTGAGTTCCAGTGTCCCAAATTCAACTGGGTTTGGGAAGGGATTTTCCTTCTCATGGCCCTGGGTTTTCTTCATTTGAAAAGTGGAGAGGACAGAGCTCCTGGAGTTGAGGATCAAGTGGAACTTTAACTGTGCCAGGTCAACTCCTATGTGGCTATCGTCAGGAAGAGCCAGAGAGGAATGGGCTGGGCTACAGGGTGGATTTCAGTGGCACAGTGTCTGTCTAGTGTGTCCATGAGTTCAAGCCCAAGCAGTGGCAGGAAAGAGAAGTCCCTGTGCTTTAGTGGGAGACCAGACCTGAGGGATTTTATCAGAGTGAGGACCAGCCCCCAGCTGCCTGGACCACAATACTTCTCAAGCTTAAGCCACAAAGCATCATCCTGGGGTCTAGCTGAATTCTGAAGCGTGAGTTGGTCTGAGGGCCTTTCAGTCACACTTGCTCCCCTTACGCCCTTTGGAGAAGCCTGAGCGAGGCGGATGCCGGATCTCCCAGGTCAGGGACCCCAGCTGGTAGACTGTGAGTGCTGCTGGTTCCTGGAGTACAGGAGGCGGCTGGTACAGGCTCTTCTCAGCTCTGAGGACAACCGGATACTCCCCTGCCCACGCCACTGCCACCAATAAGGTGGTTCCAAAGTTTGCCTTTTTAAAACAGAATCTTTCTCTATAGCCCAGGCTAGCCTTTAAGCCACAGACCTGCCTCTCCGTGCTGGGTTAAACAGTGGGAGTTAAAGGAGGGACTTCTTTCTGCACAGTGGTGGCACCTGTGTCCCACCAGGCACCAGCCCAAGCTGTTTGTCCATGCCCAGGAGTTACATGCCTTCAAGGTGCCTGGCCAGGAGCCCTTTACCCAGATCAAAGTCCATGTGGTCTCACTGGAGGACATTGCCCCAGAACACCGCTTTTCTTCTGCCTGGCATGCCACCCTAGGCCGGTGTTGGGGAGAGGCCCTGACCATGCTGCCAGTAACTGATCACATTCTAAAAGTAAGTCCATGGTTGATGTGGGAGTGTCATATATCAATCTGTTGATTTCATTGGTTAAGCAATAAAGAAACTGCTTGGCTGGCCCTGATAGGTTAAAACATAGGTGGGAGAAGTAAACAGAATAGGATGCTGGGAGGAAGAGGAAGTGAGCTTAGACTCTGCTCTGCTCCCAGAGAGACCTGACAGCTCTGCTCTCTGGAGCAGAGACGCCATGCTCAGCTCTCCCGGGTAGACTCGACAGCTCTGCCCTCTGGAGCAGAGACGCCAGGCTCCGCTCTCCCAGGCAGCTCCGACCCAGGATGGACGTAGGCTAGAATCTTCCTGGTAAGCGCACCTTGGGGTGCTTACACACATTATTAGAAATGGGCTAGTCCAGATGCGAGAGTTAGCCGAGAAGAGGCTGGATATAATGGGCAAGCAGTGTTTAAAAGAATACAGTGTCCCTGTGATTATTTTGGGGCATAAGCTAGCAGGCAGCCGGGGTGCTGGGGATGCAGCCCCGCCGCTCCTTATTTCAACACATGGTTCCCTGGCACGAGCTCGAAGAGGCAGAAGTGACTAAACAGGCAAAGAGGCTCCACGCCAATTGGGTGCAGTGTAACCAAGCTAAGGCAATGATGTGCCCTCCTTCTGCCAGGAGAAGGGCTAAATGCTTGCTCCAAAATCCTATGTAATCCCGGATTTCTCTAATAAAGCCACTTTGTCCATGTTAAAAAAAAATAAAATAGGGGCTGGAGAGATGGCTCAGAGGTTAAGAGCACTGACTGCTCTTCAAGAGGTCCTGAGTTCAATTCCCAGCAACCACATGGTGGCTCACAACCATCTGTAAAGA